GGTTTTGGACAGTTATGGCCCCTAACAGTGATCTCTTTGCTCGCTCTGTACTGTTCAACTTCTTGCTGCAAAACAAAATACCCATTATTGGAAATCAGCTTGGATACCAAGGTTACATTTTTAGTTAGCCCACATGTGCCTGCTGGGCCTCATGACCCTCAGTGTGTTTGCACTTTGTGTTTACTTTTGCTGGAGTCAGATTGGGTACGTACCTGAGTACGTCTAACTACATCAGGATGTTCTTGATAGAAGTTCTTCTCAAATTTGGGCAGCTCATCTAAATTCCATTTCTTTTTTGTAAGTTTTTCCCCAGGGTTTCCAAATTTCTTTCCAGACAGAGGTCCACCTCTACTTCCTCCAAAACGGGGGGCTCCAAACCTAGGGAGTAAGAATGTAATATAGAATCCAAGAGAAACATTTTGGTCTTCTTACAGGAGTTAACCACCATTTTTGTGGTTCACCCTGTACAATTTGGATGTATAATCCCTACCTACTTTAAGATATCGAAACTTTAAAAAACATACTTTAAGCTGCAAATGCCACAACCTGCCTCTCTACAATTCTTACTCAGAAGCTAAGGTAACATATCTTCGCATTTTCCAGAAAATGCAATGAGAAGGCAAGTTACAACAGGCAAGGCAAGGCCATAAAACCTTTGCATTACCCCGTGATCAAAATGGATTCCCACCCCGTTGACACTCCCTTTGCTGAAAGCGGGCAGGGGCAGTTATGAAACACTGGGATAACTTTGCCACAGACCGTTGTTGGGTTTTTTTTGTATCCCGGAAGACACACTTCACTGAACAACGGTATTTTATAAAGCCATACATTTTATTCGCATTTTAGGTTCGGTCCCCGCGTTGGGAGCGGGCAGATCCTCCCCGCCCCGAGGCGCAGCTCGGAGCCGTGCGCTGGATCCGAGCGCGGGGCTCCCTCCCCCGCCCCGATCGCTTCCCAATTTTGGCCGGGCGGGCGCCGGGAGCGAGATCCTTCCCAGCACAACCCAGCGCTCCCCGAGCGGCCGCTGCTTCCTGCCAGCGCTGTTTCCTTTGTCTCTCATTTCTGTCTACGCCACATTTTCCAGCCGCTGCCATTTTAGAGCCGGGGCTGGGCGGGGGGAGGAGGAGGAGGAACAAAGGCAGCAGCAGCACAGCCGGCATTTTGATTCCCCTCAGCCACCGCATGGCGGGGCCGGCCATTAACATCCGCTTACACAACACAAAGCGGAGCCGGCCGGCTCCTGCCGGCCACAGCCCGAGCCTCGGCGGGGGGAAGGGAGCGAGGGGAACCGCCCTGCCGAGCGCTCCCCGGGGCTCCGGCACCGCCAACCCACTGACCCACAAACCTGCCGCCCGCCCGCCGCTGCCGGCGGGGGGAACCGGGCTCTGCGGGGGCCATCCGTGCTCGGGGGGTGTCCCCGCAGGAGCGAGGAGCGAGTACTTTCCCCCAAACACATATTAAAAAAAAAAAAAAATTTAAAAAAAAAATCCCCCACCCGCGCCCCCCCTCAGCGCTCTCACACCCGCGGGGCTGCGCTGAGGCGGAGGAACCGAGCCCAGACCGCTCCGCCGCCCACGCTCGGTGGCCTAAAAAAAGCCAGGTCCCCTCCCCCCGCCGGCCCTGGCGGCGGGAGCGCTGAGGGAAGGGCTCGGGGCCCAACCCCCGCCCCGCCGCCATCTTAAACGGCTGAAAAACAACCCCGGAGCCCCACGGGCAGGCTCAGAGTCCGGACGCTGGCGGCGGCTGGCGCCGGCCGGGCCCCCGGACTCACCCTCTGTCCCTGTCGCTGGAATACCCGGGCATGGCGATGGTGGCGGTGGGCGAGGCGATCCCGATCACTTAAAGAAGGTAACGAAGAGTCGGGCACGATCCGGCGCCGCTGGCGGGGGCCGCTCACTGTGGGCGCCCGGCCGCGCGGACGCCGGTTATATAGGGGGCCGCGGGGGCTGCCGGGAGCCGGCGCGTGACGCACGCGTGGGCCCCGCCCCCGCCGTTATGTAAGTGGCCCGAGCCGGCCCGGAGGCCCCGCCCCCTTCCGCGTGGGCGCGGCCTCGGCTCGCCCGACTGACCGGCTTTGAGCTCGCGGCCGGAAGTGCCCCCTCCCTTCGGGGGCGGTGCCTGCGCTGACGTCACTGCCCACACCCCCACACCCCCCTCCCCGAGCCTCGTTCTGGCTGAGGGGTCGCGGCCCGAGGGGTCGGGGATGGAGGGGATGGAGATTTCCCCCTCCACAACCGCAACCTTTCGGCCGCCCACCGCGTTTAAAACGCTGCTCGGCTCCTCCTGCAGCTTCTGGCCGGGCAGAGCCGGACCCCTCCGCCCGCAGTGCAGCCCCCCCAATTCTCACAAATCCATATGTTGTCCATGTGAACTGCTCGTGAAAATCCTCCTGAAAGGGCTGCCACACATAAAGCTCAGGCTCGACAGGAGCCTGGGCTTTTAACTAATCACTGATACTTCATGTTAGATAAGCCACATGCCCACCTGTGACTTTCGCTCTTGGAAGGCCTCAGATGTGCAGATCTTCACCATGGCGAGCTGGACTCAACAGTAACTGAGCATTAAATGCTTCCTAGTTCTTTTAGACTGCTACCCGTTGCCGTTTATAAATGTTACATATATGTTCTGTAAACAGCTACCAGTGTTATCTTTTGGAATTCCAAGCAGGGCCGGTAACCTGACTCAAAGGTCACCCGAGGAGCTGCAGTGAGGGCAGGCTGTGCTGGACAGATAAAAACATCCAATACCCCCAGTGGACACCGAGTTTTTCACCTGCCTGGCTTTGCCAGGTGAGGAACAGCCCAAATGTCTGGGTACCTCAGGCTTTACACACACAAAAATCGAAGTATAAACACCAGCAGCCACCTGTTCCAGGCAGAGAGGGATGGAAACCAAAACAACATAAGGAAGAACTGCCATAACAAGACTCTCCGTTTATATCCTCCCACCTTCTAGCAATCCGTGATTTAAGGCTTTTCTGAGACAAAAATAACTGCATCTGATGGCCATTTCTTCACATTTTGGTTCTATTTATGCCCTCAGCTTCTAAGATACCATGACAATGTGTTTCAGTTTGACTGTATGTGACCTGAAAAACATTTACTTTCATTTTCAACAGACTGCCACGTAAGAAAAAGGGGCACGAATCAACATGAGTTATTAGAAATGCTAATGATTGCCTATTTATTTATACCCTTTATGCCCTTTATTTATACCCTCACCTCCTCTACAAACCAAAGCTGAAGTCTAATTTTTCCTCCTTTTTAAAGCAATTCCACACTTCCAAGTATCTTTGCCATTTTCTCTTTATTGACAAGAAATTCACAGTATTTATGGTCTGGAGCCCGTACAGATTTACATAATGACAGTATAAAGATATTTTCGATCTGTTGTGTATTACTTCCTAACGATTTTTTTTTCCTTTTTTTGATTCTTGCTTAGAACAGAGCAAGGTTTGCAAACTGGATGTTTCCACGACATCTTCCTCGAACAGAACACTTCAGTCAGGCTTATCTTTGTTTATGAACAGCCACAGCTGCTCGCCCTTCAGCAACTTGGAATTCCACCTCTTTTTCTTGTTATTAACTTCCTCTCTTAGTAGCACTCCAATTTGACAACCAGTTTTGTTAATACTATCCCTGCAAATTTCTAACAGAGGAACTTCCCCATTTTTTTTCAGGATGGACTTCACTGATTTAATAAGGCTTTTGAAAGATTTTTCTCCCCAAATGCTTCTTTTAACACTCTATACCTACTGACCCTAGAGACTTCCTGTTTCTGAGGAGTCTGAAAAAGGTTTTTGCAAAGGCTCCAAAATAACAGATTATCTGAGTTTTTCTTCTTCTATTACATTTATTTTAACACAGCTAATTTGATTTTGTGTGTGTGTGTATAAGGTGGCTCTGTTTCTGTGCTGTTTAACCTTTCTCAGGTTTTAAAGAATTGAAAAGTCTAAACAAAAACCTCGCCTCTGCCTTGCCTGCACACATTTGGTCTGCAAGGAACTCCTTTCGATTTCCTGTGTAAAAAACTTCCTCGTTTTTCTGTTCCACCCAAGTTAAACACCAGCGACCTTCCTGTTTTCTCTTCCTAATTTGAGCCTAATTCTCCGTTTACAGAGCTGTGTGTGTATCAAACTGCAGTCCATGTTTAGTTTAGCGTCACAGCACCGATATGTGTTTGCTTACCTGCACAAAAGCTCTTTTGTGTTCCCAAGGTGATGTGTGGATTTGGATTTATATCTCCACGCGACACCCGGGGGGCTGCTGGAGCTCACATCGCTCAGCTTTATTTGCTGCCAGTCATTGTTCTCGACAGCCGTAATTGGGATCTCAGCTGCTTCTCTCACGCTCCAGGACTTTAAGGACAAAGGGCACCATTTTTCCTAGACTCGATGCAACACGGAAATTCCAGAATTCCTAAGGAGAATGTGGAAAACTGTTGCTCAGTGAGGAAGATAAAGCACTTTCATCATCCCACCTTCCCAAAAACCTGTATGCTAAGAGCTAATAGAATCAGTTTCGCTAAGCAAACCGTTCTAAATCTTGTTTTTAATAAAGGTTTTAACACTCCTTCCATGCACAGAAGCCATGAAAACCTGGATCACCGGGCAATTAACACCAAACCCCCGGTAATGGCCACACCGGCCGGCAAACGCCCCGGGCCAGGGCCGCAAGGTCAAGCGCTGGAACCTTGGCCAGGCCGGCCTCTCCCTACCTATTTCACCGAAAAAACGCCCACAGCCGCCTCGCTTCAGGTGACGGAGGCGGGACCGCCCGGCACCCCCCACACGCACCGCCGCCATTTTACACCGGCAGCGCCCTCGGCAGCCAGGGGCGCTCCTGGGGGTTTAGTCCTGCGCGGAGGGCTCAGGGGGCGGCGGCACCGACTGGGGGGAGCCGTGAGGGGGCTGAAAACACCGCGGGCAGAGCGGGACCAGGACCGGGACAAGGACAGGAACAGGGACCGGGACCGGGACCATCCCGGGGACCGGCACAGAGCCAGCGCCCTCCCTTCCTGCGCCGCCCGCCCAATGAGCGCGCGGCACGCGGTTTAAATGGCGGGGCGGGCGCCGATGGCCGTTGGTGCCGCCATGGGCAGCGCTGAGGGCACAGGTAGGGCCGCGCTCCCTCAGGGCCCCTCGGGGCACTGATCACCTCCTCCTGAGGGCACCGACTGCCGCTCCCCGGGGCTCGCCGTGCCCCTGTTCGGTCCCTCCCTGCGCGGCCTGGCGGTGGGGCGGGTCCCGGTGCCGCGGCTCCGGGAGCCGCCTTCTCTCTACCTCCTCATCCCCGGCTCCTCGCATCACTGGCGCTGTTTTATTCAGCCCCTTAAAGCTGTCTTTTCCTTGTGTCGTGACTTTTGAAGCTCTTTATTTTACCCTCCCCGGTGGCGCTTTTAAATTAATAAAGCTGGAGATAAGCAATGAGAGGAGTCTACCGAGACATCAGCCTGAAGTGTAGGGAGTGCTACTTTAAGCTTTCATTCACCTGAAATTATTAAAATGTTTAAATAAAGTGATGTCTGGAACTGATGGAAGACTAAAGGGGTGGAAAAGTAACACCCCCTATGTACAGAATAGAAAAACTGTGCAAAGTAGTTACTGTTGTGGTAACTGTATACTTTTTTCCTTCCAAAGATGACTTACCCCTTCTCCAACCATTAAACTCCTCAATACTTGTTAAAATACCACAATGATTTGCAAAGGCAGCATCGTGGAGGGGGAGGTGGAAATCCAACCCCAAGAGGTCACAGGCTAAGGGAGATCCAGACTTTAGTTCTTCCAAGGTGCTGTTTGAACTGGGTGATGAGGAGGAAAGCAGAGGGTACACGTACTCAAAGCACTTGGAATCCAGGACTCAAAGTCTTGGGAAAATCAGGCTGTTAATGCACATCTCATTGTACTCCTCAGAGTGTGGAGTTGGTGGGACCAGCTCCATATTCTTGTAATCCCAAAACAATTCATAAAAGTAATCCTAAAATTCAGCTTTCCTGGGGAATATTGACATCAACAATGATGTCGTTACTGAAGGGTATTGGTGAACCTGGGTTTGGAAGAGAAGCTCCTGCTTTTCCAAAGAGTGCATGTCCTTTCTGATTATTGATAAGCAGCATATCAAAGCTTGGTAAACTCGTCAAGGATTGGAATTCCTGGCTGTGAGGCCACATCTAAATTTGTTTTCCATTATCTGAAAGGCAAAAGGAACCTGCCCAGCCTGTGGTACTTCAGTGCCCTTCAGCTCCCAAGTCTGGTTGTGCTGTGACTGTACTGGTACAATATGTTCAATATTTGGGGTGATTTAACTGACCATGTCCTTATTTCTGTGTCTTTCACCTCTGACATTAATATGTTTTACTTCTTAATAGATTGGGTTGACGTTGCCAATGGTCTTTTGAGGAGCTGTCACATAAACCAGCACATAAAGCATCTCTCAGAATGTGGTGCTGATGTGTTTGTTCGTCTTTATGAGTCAATCTTGGGAGAAAAAGTACCAGGTAGGAATGATAATTTTAAAATCTTTTGGGTTTTGTTGCCGTGTGTTCTGTAATGAGAAAAAAATTTAAAAAGTTTGTGCTTAGTATTTATGAAAAATTTCATGTACCAGCTACTGAAAAAATACTAATTTGTAAGCAGAAGTTAGAGTAGTTTAATTAAAGTACCTGCAATAAGCTGGCCATTTGGATAGCTTAAAATCTATTATTTCTTTTAAATAGATTTCATAGCTACTCCCAGGAGCCAAGAGGATGATGCACACAATGTACAAGCAGTAATAGATTCCCTGGCACTGGACTATTTGCAGGTCAGCTTGTCTCATATCACTGGTAAGTATTTGTTTTCATGAGACAAAGACCAGCTGAGTGTGGTTTAATTGGAATAATTTATAAGAACCATGTGTTATACAGAATGCTCTCATACCTGCAGGAAGGTCTTTGTCCCACAGTGAATGTCATCAGAGCACCGAACCCTTGCACTGAACATCAGGTTGTAAATTGAAACAGCAAGCAGAGAATAAATAAGAGGAAGAAATGTTAAAGTTAAGCCAGCCATCCTTCAGTTGGCTGCTAAACTGCTACCTGCAATCTGTTACTTGCTCGTGCTTGCAGATTGGCTTTTCAGACACGAGCCTCGAATTTCAAACTCAGTGCATTTTTAGGAGTTGGTTTGAGCTGCTGTGCCTGTCCTTTGGACACAGAAAATGGCTCTCACTGAGCTCTCATGGACAGCCTCACATAACACAACCTGCCAAGAAGGAAAACTGCTTGTTGTGAAGTGTCTCTGGTGCCTGGATGGTGTGGCTGGTGTTTGCTGCTGGCACCCCAGAGACTGGGGTCATGCTGTAGTTTGGATAAGAAAAGTATTAAATACTAACTCTCCCTGAAAATATCCCTGAATATTTTTCTTAATAAAGTTGCACTTAATAGAAGTGAAAATATGCAACTTTAGGATGCTAAAAGATACCTTAAGCTTACATGTGTAGCCATAAACAAGTGATCAGTTGTCTTCTGAGCTGACACCTTCACCAAGCACTCTTCTCCAGAAAACTTGGAGAATTTCTCCCCTGTGAGGTACCAATTATTAACATGTACCACTACCTTCTCTTCAGGTGAGAACATTGTGAAAGGAGAGAGGGAATCTATCAAAAACCTCCTGGAAATATTTGATGGTTTGTTAGAGTATCTGACAGAAGCCAGTGAATCTTCTTCTCACACTGGAGGTGAGCAGATGTAAACCCAAAATGTTTCCAATGTAGCAAAGATTTATTCAGTGTTTTCCCCTCATTTACAACATCAACAATGCAGAAAAGGAGAAAGACAAGACTGACCACGAGGGAGGACATTTCAGTGGCCAAAATGAGTGTTTGCATTCCTTATTTTCATAAGCAATAACAAAATAATACCCCCCAAATCTTGTTAAAAGGCAAGAATTGGAGTACATAATCTTTCTGCTTTGTTTTTGTGGCAGAAACCTACTCTAGACCATTCATCCTCTGTTAGCTGCTTCTCAACCTGTCAGTCAAATGATTCAGGATTAGGATTCAGGGAATGTTGGCTGTAATTGGAACAATGAGCAAATGTCCCTTTTACTTACTGAGAGGCACGTGAGGTGGGTCCTGGGGGTAAATCCAGAGCAGGGGCTATTTTGAGGAAAAGGGTAAATGAGAGAGAAGCTGTTTCTTGCAAATAATTGCCTCTTGGTTATTAACAGCTGAGGCAAATGTGCTGTCCAGTCATGAAATTCAAACTGCATCTCAAGAGCAGCTGGAAGGCAACACTGATCAACTTACAGAGCATTCAATACCCTCATCAGCTGAAGGGTAAGAACAACTCTGAATATTTGCATTGACATGGAGATTGACCATCTTTGTGTATCTGTAGAGAAACTGGTAAGTTTTTAATAGTGTGGAAACCCGCTGATTACACCTATCAAATGGCATGTGAGGTAACTCCTTTGGTCAGGCAACACAAGGGCTAAAATTAGATCCAGAACTTTTTTTGGAAGAGAGTGCTGATGGCATTTTGTTTCCCTTAGGTTTGCTTTACAAACTTTAATCCGTTCTCAACGATTGTGTTTTAGTGACGCTGAACTGGGTTTGTCTTTGTCGCTCCTGCCTTGGTTTCTCGTGTGGAAGGAGGGCTCGTGTCCAGCCACTGTCTGATGTCACAGCTCCTCTGCAGCTCCATCTCGTGGGCTGAAGGGGCAGAGACCTGCAGAGGAAATATTTCATGGCTTTATGTTCCCTTCAGGTCCCACTCAGAATATTTCCTTCTAACCTGTGATACAGATGGCTCAGAATCTACTGGTGAATTAATTAGGCTTGGAGACACCGCTCATTCATTTTCCAGGAGAGAGGAAGGTGAGTTTGGATGAAAAAGCATTTAAGACCACTCTGTGGTAACACTTCTTGGCTTTTTTTGTGTTGTCACAGGTGACACCTCAAGTCCTTTGTGTTTGTCTCTGCAGGGTGGATGGAATCTGTTCCTGCTGCTGAGCCTCCCAAAGAGGGGGTGGGTGCCAGTGCCACCAAACTGGGGGAGCCCATCCAGCAAGCCATTCCTCTGCTGCCCCCCTTCCAGCCTTCACACCCTGCCTGGAGAGGTTTCCACAGCTCACACAGACAGGCAGCAGCTCTGGCAAGCAGTCAGAAAATTCCTACTGTAAGGAAAAACCTAGCCTTTGGTTATTTTTAATTTATTGATTTATTTATTAGTAAGCCATACTGCTTTCATTTTAAAACCCAGTTAGTTCACTTGCAGCCTGGGAGTGGTTGGCCTCTGAAGAACAATTGTGAATGTGTCAGAGTTTATCTCATTCAAAGGATTTGGGGTTGTGGATTTGTTCTTCACTAAGGGTCCAGAGAGGAATTTAATTTGAGGGGTGTATTTATTTTATACACATCCCCATAATCAATGTAACTGCACAGTTGGCAATAGAGCAAACAAAATAATTATAGTGATTTTTGTCTATCCAATGTAGCAAACAAAATAATTATGGTGATTTTTATCTTCTATAAAATCAGCATTGGCTTCCATTTGCAGACAGACCTAATGTATGACCTTCCTGTCAGCACTCTCCTGTGAATTTATAGAACACATGTTGCTTTTTATTTCAGCTTGAAGAGTCACCTACTGAAAAATCTGATGATGATTCTGGTAGTCTCCCTCTATCAAGAAAGATCCCTGGTGAGAGAAATTTTTACCTCCTATAGGGGAACTCTTTAAGTATCACACATTGCATTTATTTTCACTGGCACCACAAGAAACATGGTTTTGAAACTACTAATGCACTGCAGCCACAAGTTCATATTTCTATCGCTGTTTTATAGAGAAACAAAAATAGGTTACTTTTAATCTTTTCCCTGTGCTGGAAAAAAGTAATCCATGTCCTCAGTTCAACTCCTTTCTTAGTTAATCCAGTTAAGATGGGCCTGCTCTACAGAAATCTCCTCCAGCAGATAACTGCCATGGCTGAGCTTATTCTGAGCAGAGAAACATGGAGCAAACAAGGCACTTTAACCAAAAAAAAAAAAAAAAAACCACAAAAAACCCAAAACATGAACTGCTATTGTAGCAAAGCTTTAGAAGCTGTTTTTTCCAGTACTCATTTTCTCTGTTGCCTGGGAAACACTGCTTACCTTTCCAGTTTCCATAGCACTGCCATGGCACTGAGATTGCCAAACTGACTGTCACAGCTGTGTCACCGACCTGGCTTTGTGTCTCTCTTCTCTTTGAGTAGCTCTCAGAATCTCTCTTTGGCTGCACAGGCCGTGGCTCACCCCTTGTTTTCCTTTGTTCCCCCCCTCAGAGGGCACAGTGCAGGCTGAAGCATCAGCTCACACTTCCCTGTCATCTGCTGCTGCACTGGGAGCCCAGGTGGGTGATGCTGAGGACAATGGGAGAAAGGTACTTCTTGCATCTTTACTTGTGGAAGCTCTTTCAGTATTTCTGGATTTCTGCTTCATTCTCCTGATACCTCCTGGTACTTCTGGGCTTGTTTCAAAGCTGCTCTAGTCTCACTTTCCTCAATGTACAATCAGTGTTGAAAGACTAGGACTGTGTACAGTTTGTAAGTCACATCAGTTCTTAGCTCTTTCTGGAGCTGTTTGCTCCAAAAAGTGCATGAGCCAGCACCCAGAGAGTTCTAATTTATCACAACCAGCCAGTCACTAATTATCTTGCTTTTTAATCAAAAATACACAAAACACAAGAGTGTGGTCACGTCCTTTCTCTGCAGTGTACCAGCATTCTAAATCAGTAAGAATGTTGGGGTTTTGGGGTTATTCAACCTCCAGTAAAACTTAGATTTACCCCCTTCTAAAGATCACTGTACTGCCTGGTTATATTGGTTCATTTGATTTTATTGCTTTGTCCTTTGCTTTTCAAAAACTGAATAATGCAAAGCCCACCAATCGATCCACTCTGTGCCCATAGAAATGTGTCTGTATAGGAAATTTCTCGCTCTGGAAACACCATTTTGCCTTCTGCAACCACAAGAGGTACTCACAGACTCCACTTGTTCCTCCAGTTTCAGCAGCTTTTCCTTCTGCACTGCCTGTTTCAAACATTGTGTGTGTTTGAAGCTCAAGTCCATGCATGGCACCTCCAAATTACTCCTGTCTGAGCAGAGGAGTTCCCAGGCAGCACCAAAGCAGTGGAACTGAGTGGCACAAGGACACTTTTGGCTCTCTGGGAGTTGCAGCTCAGTCTGTACTCAGTGAAATTCAGTTTATTTCCACTGCCTGGCATCAGGCTCAGGCTCAGAAGGGGCACTCACCACTTAACCTAGACCTTGTTCTGGTTCACTGGCTGAGCTGTAGATGATTCTTGAGCTGATAGTCTACATTTTTGCTGCTCTGTTGCTTTAAGCATTATTTCTCCAAAGCACACTATCTTCAGTCAGGGACCTGGAAATACAGCTATTTTTATGTGTCTGTATCCACAGGGTTTGAGATGATTCTGTAAAAGCTGTTGTAGCCTCTCTACTCCTGTGATCTATTAATAAAATCTCAATTTACTAATTTTCTAGGTTCTTCTGGAACATGAGCCTTCTACATCTGTTTCCTCTTCAGATGAAAAATTCTCCCTACAATTTGAACAACTAACACAAACTCCAAGACCTGAATCCAGGTACCTGCCTAGAACATCAAGGCAAGTTCAGTTTTTTGGTCCTAAACCACACTAGCACTTTAATTTCCATGGCCATCCAGCCCCACTCTCCTTTTTCAGTAAGACCTCTTCTTCCTTGGCTGTGTGACAGTGAAAGATTAATGTTAATAGAAGGGTTTCCTGTTTCTCCTGACATATATTCATGTTCTTAAATATAGTTATAGGCACTTCCACATTCAGCTTCTACTTAATCCTATAAAAATGTGCTTATGCAGAAAGCGGAGGGGAATTGTGTGAGATAATTGTTACCTTCAAGTTTTCATCAGAGAAATGAAATCTATTTTCTGCTTTAGCAGATATGAAACTTCTACCACAGATTCATTTGAAGATTCCCTTTCCCAGGGAGCAGCCAAGAAGAAGCTGCCTGAGCAAGAGCTCCACGAAGCATCAGAAAAACTGTCTCGCAGGCTCAACGAGCTGGATTTAGTAAGTGAAGTCTCCCTGTTGGGCTGAGCAACCTGGCTTTAGTCATGGCAGTGGAGACAACAGGAATATGAATTTAACATCCATGAAATGAAAATCCACAGCTAACACTGCCTTTAGTTCATTCCAAATTTACAACTGTCTGTTCAACTTGATAACCCCTCCTCAAAAAATCTGTCCCTTAGATGTTAAAGAGAGCTTTGGGGGAGTGCAGCAGAGAGGAGCTGCCAGATGAAGACAACCTGTCCCAGCACAGTGACAGTGTCATGGACTATGGCCACAGGACAGCTGGGAGAGGTAACCATTGATGCCAGTGAAGAATTGGGATGTAAAGCTGATACACTGAATTACTCAGAGTTAATTACTAAGTTTTGTGTTGTCAGTTCACTTATGTTTGGTCTCTGATCCAAACCTGAGCAACAGTAACAGAATTACAACGAAGTTCCTGTTTAACACTTAAATAGCTGTGGCAAAACAGGCACAGTAAAAAGTGTACACAAAGTGGGGGAGGGCAGGAACAGAAGCTCCCAGGGCTGGGGTTCTGAAATGAGGGCCTGGGCACAGTCACCTCACTGCTTTTTTTGTCTCAAATCAGCTCCAAGGTACCCAAGCAGGCCACGATCCCTTTCTCCACCCTCCCATTTATATCAGCACCAGGAAGATAAACTGTGTGGTAATGAACACATAAAGACAATCCGCTGCCAGCTGCAAAAAGAGAGGGACGAAAGAACAAGAAAAGCAAAGGTAATTTCTGAGTGAGACTTTGTGGGAATTCTTACCAACAGTTATGCTAAAGCCATGAAAAATGCTCTGACTTAATGGAGGATCTGGCCTCCTTTAGTCATCATGTGCTGTTGTATCTGTGACTGCTGAGGAAGAGACTTTAAACCCCAAATTTTGCAAAAAAAAGAGAGAGTTTAAAGTGGAAGAAGCTCCTTTGACCCACACAGCAAACAAGTTAATGAGGTGGTTGTATGGACTGATTATTTCCTCTGGCAGGTCCTTCTGTTTTTATTTTCTAGATGGTCAATAAAGCTTATGAGGATGAACTAAGGATTTACGAAGCCAGGGAGAGGCTTAGACTTTGCAAGCTCAGAGAAGTCCTCAAGGAAATTGTAGGTGATGCACTGTGGGGATTGTTGGTTGTGTTTTGTTTGGTTGTGGGTTTTTTCCATTTCAAATTTGTCTGGATGATCTGTGCAGGCACTTTTGGGTACAGAAACTCCTTGTAAATTGTCACAGTTACAGCCCTGTGTGCTACTAAAGTAGTGACTTAGTTCAGTGCTGCAGAAGAGCTGAGGTTATGCAATAATGAGATTTAACCTTTATTTGAACCCTGACCTGCATTTTGGTGAATTCTGGCCTTCTGGAGAATCCAGGGCAATATGTCCAAGTTCTCATTCTAAAGTTTCAAAGACATTTGAGCTCTGGTGGCCAAACTCTGTTCTATCAGTCTTTCCCCTTCTCATACCTGTTCTCCATCTGTTTTACATCTGCTCCTAAGGAACAAGAATACAAAGAAAACATCTTTAAAGAACCTCCAAAAGTGTCTCAGCCAGTGAAAGTTTATTCTAGAAAAACCACACCTTGGATTCCAAAACGAGGGACCGTGAAGCCAAAGCAAGCATATCCAAGTAAGAACTGCAAAACTATCCTTGGTGGAAAACTGGCATCCTTTGAAAGCATGTGTTGAACTCCAAGAATAAAGGCACCAGGCCAACATATACCAGGCAGCTGCAGCATTTTCCCCTTCTTCTGACCTCTATATGTCTGGATTTTTGTTAGGGAAGATAATGCTCTAAGTAAATGTAAGCCATCGATGCACAATCAAACTGTGACCCATTTACTACTTCCTTAAAATCCCTTGGATTATTTTCAGGGCTTGTTTCCATTACTGCTGCTCCTGTGCTTGTTCCACTCCAGTCTGAGCTCTCCTTCTGTTATTTTTCTGAGCATGGATCAGGTTTAAAGTCGGGCCTTTGGCTTGAGCTGAGCCACGTGCAGGTAACGGAGGAGGATCTGTCAGGGCCCTGCCATTGTGCTGTTAATGCTGCCACTGCTCTTGCTGGGCAAGTGATGCTCCAGGAGCAGCCAGGATGCAAATCCCAGGCTCAGTTTTGGTAACCAGCACTTGCTGGTTAGTGTGTGCTGTTAAGTGTGTGCTTATGGATCCCCTACATACCTGCATGTTGCTCAGCTACACTGCCTGGTATTTTCTTTTTCCAGTTTTTAAAGGGCATGTACTTGGTAAATACCCTTTTGTTTCATCTCCCCATCATCTTTTCCTGCCAGAAAGATCAAAGATGTACTGGGAACGAGCTGGTTGCAAACCAGTTTATTTTGCACTTGTTTACTTGACCTGGATCTGTCATTGCTCCTGTGGTGTTGGCATTATTTGAAGTTGCTGCAACCAGAGAGAGAGGGGCAGCTAAAAAAAAATCACTGATTAGTGATGGTCAGAACCAGATGAAGAAAAGGGATACCTGTCTTAACTGGATGTGGTGGTGGTGGGAGGGAAATAACACCTGAGCTGTAAAAGCAGTTCTTCAGAAAAAAACAACAACAACAGATTGGGATCAGTGTCTGCTGCTGGACTGGCAGGGTGATGTCATGTCCTGCTGGGCTCAGCCTGACACTGGAACAGCAGGGTGGGATTTTATATAGAACTCAACAGAAAATACTTCATAACTTAGCCTGGGCAAACTCACCACTAAATGTGTTCTGCAGGAATTTATTGCTCACATCTGCCTTTACCTTGCAGTGACAATAAGGGACAACGAGCTCCTGGTGAAGCTGCTGCAAGAGTTTCCCTCCCTGCACATCTCCCACCGCACCCTGAACAAAATGTGGGAGCGGCAGCTGGCACACACCGAGCACCTGCAGGCAGCTCCTGCCAGGGCCAGACCAAAGCTCCTGAACGAGGTGAGTGTGCCCATCTCACCTGCTGGGTGCCAGCACAGAACTCCTGGCACTGGGGCAGCAGCCACGCGCGGCACGGACGGGGCACCCGCACCTCAGGAAAGGCTGAGCTTGGGTAAACAGGGATGTGCAGATTTAGACACGTGGATTCAACTGATCAGCCACTGGAATTGAGTGGTCCTGTTTTATACTGCTTTTTCTAGTACTGCTTGGGGTTGCTAATGCCTTTTTAAAAGCACTTTGGTTTCAAGTGCTGCTTCTGAACAGTCTTTTGGTTTAAAGGTTAGTTGTGAGATACAAAAGCTGATTAACTTCTGGTAACTCTCAACATAAAAACCAAAACACAGCAGAGGGGCAATGTTTAAACCTCCAATATACAACGGCTTGTCCTGCAGAATGATGGAAGTGATCAGCTTTTATTTTTTAAACCTCCAGGTTCAACAAGCCCTGAGGAAGCATGAGCTTCTTGCTGCAATTATTAAAAAAGATCAAGAGCACAGCAAGAGACTGGTATGTTCTTTGGAGGGTATTTGTCATATTGTACATTCATGTTGAGCTACCTGGAATTCCTTGGTCAGGAAAGTGGCTTTTTATCTTAGGACAGTTTTATGCCTTTTGAGCAGCTGGGGTCTCAAATGCCATGTGATGATTGTGGTTTGCCTACTGGGGTCATGAGAGTGGAGCAGTATTTTTATGACACTGCACTGCTGCTTTAAAAGGTCCAGTTCTAGAACTGTGCAAGGAACCTTCAGGCTCTGGGTGCTGCAGCTCCCACGGCAGCGCTGACTCCAAAATTCTGTCGTGCCTCAGCCGTGCCCCATCAGCAGTGACCAAAGCTTTAAACCCCAACTGCAGGGTACAACTGGGCTGTGGGCAAGAACCCTGATCAATCAGCAAGGATTAACAAAGCTGTACCTGTTGGCAGGTTGGTCTTAACAGCTGCTTGTTCTCCTTTCAGCAAGAATTCAAGACCCGCATCTCCCGGCAGAAATGGGCTCAGAACAAAGTGACCGAGAAACGGCAGCAGGTGGCTCGAGCCAGGAGGTACTATGAGGATTACAGGGTGCAGCTGAGGGCCAAGCTGATGAGAGCCAGGACACGGGAGGAGAAGGTAAGGACAAGATTCCTGCTCTGCAAGGCTGCAATTCCTTAGTGTTTGCACCCCAGTGCTCATCCCACAAGTAGAGAGCAAGGGAAGTGACAGGAGCAGGGCCATGATTAAGTTGGTCAGTCAGTGATGAAGCAGTTCCTTCTCTGGAAACATGGACACAGTGTAGAGCAATTCCCTGTGGAACAAGAAAAGCTGCTTGGGGTTAAAAGGAGAGGAAGGTGAAGTATTAGTATGGAACAACGGGGCTGGTAATGTGAGAAATTGGGGAAATGAGTTTTTGGATTAAGAAGTTCCTGTGGTTACTATCCAAAGAAAACAATCTAAATCTTCAGTTAAGATGATGATCAAACAGCAAGTTTGTCATTCAGTTGTGTTAAACAAAGTGGTCTTTGTGCCAGATATGATCTCTAATTAGGGCTGGACATCAGAGAGAAGGAAAGCAAGGAGAGCTGTTAGGCTTTACAAGAGCAGATACACAAATGTCACCTTTGAAAAGAAAAGATGAGAAGTTTAGTGCCTAATCCACTGTTAGTGATTTGGGAACTGTTTGCCTCAAGCTGTGAGCTACAGCTGGTAAATGTTCTGGTGTAGAAATGGAAAGGCTGAGTCCAGGCTGGATTTCCTGCTGCTGGAAATCTGGATGAAGGTCCTGAAATCAGACTCAGAGTGCAGGGTGGGCTGTAAATCACAGTGCATGTTCAAAGGCCCTGGCTTGTGCTGTCGGGTCATATGACTAAACTGACATGAAAAAATGATTTTATCTCCCAGAATTTCAGTTAAATGAGTAATACAAACCCAGCTCAGCTGTATCTGCACCACCATCCCCAGCTGCACAACCTGGGCAGTGGCCTCTCCTGGTGTGAATGCCGTTCCAGCAGGAGGATGCTGCAGCTGAAACGTGTAAACATAGACTTATAAGTTTCTGGGAGAGTTTCAGCTTTGCTTTTCTCCACTGCTGGCAGATCTTTAAAAACTTATTTGAAGAAGGCTTAGAAATTCAGAAGCAAAGACTGAGGGACCTGAGGGCATACGCTCAGGAGAAGCGCGATGAGCAACGGCGAGAGCACCAGAACGAGCTGGAGTCCATGGAGAACTACTACAAGGGTCAGGTAAAGCTTCATCTGCCTCACACAGCCCCTTTTCTTTACCCTGGAAGTCTTTCTTTTCTTTAATTGCTTCAACTGACACGTGTTCTGCTCAGTTTGCCATGCTAGCAGAAGCTCTGTCTCAAGAATTCCAGCAAATCCAAACCAGAGAGAAAGCACAAGCACAGGTAAGTCTTCTTCCTTCTGCCTCCTTGTGTTTTCTTTTCACCTGCTGTGGCTGATGTCAGGGCTTTGTTTTAGATGCTACAGAAATCCAAAAGAGAACTGAGATCAAAGATGGAGAAGGAAATACAGCAGCTGCAAGCAGCGATCATGCACAACGACGACGACACCTTTTTTCAAGAACTCGAAGCGGACAGACTGAGATCCAGACTGCAGATGGCTTCCTTCCAGTACAGCCAAGGCCACTTCTTGTAAGACTTAGGTAAATGTCACTGGCTGAGAGGATGAGAATCTCTGCTGGCTGCTGTAATGGGAAGATGGTGTGTGGCTGGTTTGTTTTTTCTCCAGAACATTTGCTCTGTCGTTTTGACCCATCAGGGGTGTAGCTGCTGGGAACTGGGATCCCCACAGCACTTTTATGATCACCAATAAAGTTTTTGAAGTGCTTTCTACCTTCTTAGCAAGGCTGGGATAATGTTGAGCTCTACCCAAAGGAAGTGGGATGAAGTCAGAGTGCTTTATCCTGGTGGAACAGTTGGATGCTGGGGCTGTTGTTGCTCAGCCACACTAACACCATTAGCCAGAAATTACTGGATTGGAAAGCTCACAAAGAACAAGAAGATCTTTAAAAGAACATCAGAGGTTCAAGTTTCCTGGGAAAGGCCAAGTCAGAGAATGGTTGCAATAAACCTGACATCACAAATCAGGAATTCAGATACACCAAACAAGGGAGCACTGACAACTTATTCCATGAGCTCTTCCCTTCAGTTTGTGTTTGCAGGGTTGGGGTTCCTGGCCTGTACAACATAAAGGCACATAAAATACTCCCCCAGTGCTATGAATGCATTGGGAAAAGTGGTTTGGAATGGAAGGAAAACAGTGAAGGTTCTTCTGAAGCAGTAAAAGATGAGGTTCTGCAAGAGCTGGACCCTGGGAAGGAGCTGGGGCTGTTACTGAGACAGTCTCCTCTGCCTGACAGAATTTAAACTTTTAATTAGTTCATCTTGGTAATGAAGATGAACTAAAGTTTAATTTTAACAGGCTCCAGTAGAAGAGTTCTTGCTTAGCACTGCTGTGTGAGAAGTGATATAGTTATTAATTGCATTATACTCAATATTTGAAGGCTGCCATGAGGTGGTGTCTGATAGAACTGACAACACAGGGAATTCAGACTCATGCACTGAAAGGAAAAAGAACTAAACAGAAAAAAAAAGAAGCTTCTTTCACAGATTAAACACACCAGCCAGCAGTTAGAGCATGAGATACTTCAAAAATAGACCCAAAAACCACACAGCAAAACCCAGAAACACAAACCCTTCACTTTTACAACCCTTTCCAGGGAGCTGCTTTAACCTGGCTGACTTGAAGTCTCTAAGGGATAAAACTTACCAGCTAAGTTGATGAAATTTAGCAAGTATTTACCAAATTAACCCTTTTTTTTTTCCCCCTTAAGGAAGATGGTTTAGCTTTGCTGAGTTTTGAGAGGAGGCATCAAGATAAGGCCAGGACATGAGAGAGCCAGAAGTAAAACCTGCTGTGCTTGAGTAGAACATTCAGCAGAGCCCTTTCTGTAGGTAAAAAACTGGTAAAACCACCACACAGCACATGGACAGACACCAAGGTTTAAGTGTTTTCTCCTGGAACAAAGTCGAGTTACTTAAAAAAAAAAAGAACATTTTCCATTTTAAAGATTTAATGAATAAAAACTTGAGAAACTTTTAAAACCATTGATGCTGTGACAGTGCAAACAGCATACAATTTATTGCTCAACTTCTGCATGGGTACATACATTAAGTACTTAAAAACCATTTTATACAGATTGTTGTTGTCGTCGTTGTTGTTAAAGCTCATGTAACAGCTGGGTGAAAATACAATGATACCAACGCTAAAACACTCGGTAATAAATACAATGGCAATGAGAAACTAAGAACTGTCAGTTTGTGGAGGAGTAATTACACTTGGATAAACTAATTACAGCTACAGACAAAGCTCTGAGGGTGTGGCAGAGCCAGGACTTAACTACTTAGTGTGAAGTACAACCTGGGAAGTGTGGTGCTGTTTCAGACCCGAAGCCATCAGAACGTGCTACATCCAGCTGGAGGGTGACAGAGAAGCAAAGCTTTGACTTCCCTCACTGCAGCCAGTTCTCAAATGCACCAGAAGTTCAATCCAGATGTAGTGTTTGTTGGAGAACAGCAATTTAAAAAAAAAAAAAAAAAAAAGTGTGCTCTGGACTTTAGTACAACACAAAAAAAAAATTTTGGTACAAATAAATCAGTTTAGGGAAACTGAAACTATGTGCAAAAAAAAAAAAAATTAGAATACATACTGTACAAAGCACCATTACAAAACTCTTTACACCGAGAAATTAAATCCTCTGAAACTCAACTGTGTAATATTTGAAATCTACAAAAAGTCACTGTTCATAATTAAACATTCATCAGGAAAAGCAACAGCATAAAACCATGATGTGACATCTCTCTAAAACAACTAAAGACTGGATAAAGTAAAACCCAGTAAGAGGGACACATTGAAATAAATATTCACATTAATCATGGGGTGAAAGTCCAAGGTTAAAATGCAATATTAGGGCTTAGCACCTTCTTTTTTTTGAGGGGAAAGGAGCTGACATGATCTTGAAAGAAAATTTTGCAAAGGAATCAACCCTTTAGCACTTTCAGATGAACATCTGGCTGGGTGATGAGGTGCTTCAGTTAAAGCTCTCAGACTTTATGAAGGTAGAAAGGCACTCAAAATAACGTGGTATATTCATCCTCATCTGTCAGCTATGGAAAGTCCAATGGAGATTTGTCTAGCTTTGCCTATAATATATTAAATTTTAAATATTTAGATCTGTGGCAGTTAAAAAAAAAAACAAAAAAATTTCTCTGTGCCGTAAGAAAACGTTTGGTAGAAAAAACCAGACGTGCTGCTAAGGCTGCTGTGAAAATGGGCTGGGGGCTTGCAGAGCTCATCTCCTGCCTCCTCACAAAGGGATCAGTAAACCCACCAGAGGGCTCAGGGGACACTGCAGGGCCAGGGCTGGGCTGAGCTGTCTGCCACAAATCCCCTGAGTGGCCCCTGAGCCCTCCCAGGAGCTGCAGCAGAGCAGATTTTACACCTGCCATGACGTCCCTCGTGGCCAGGGAGCAGCAAGAGCAGGGGAAATAAAACCAAACCTCACTTCTGCAGCGCTGGAGGGTCCTGGGAAAGGGGGCACAGGGACCTGGCCCTGGAAAATCCCTGTCAGCAGTGACTCCACCACACCCAGGCATGTGCAGGGGGGGAGCAGAGGCTCTGGGAGGGTCTGTTTGGAGCTTGTTCCCAACCAGGGGCAGAGAACACACTGAGCAACAACCACCTGCTTTGCCCTCCCAGGCCCTGCACTGACACAGCAGCAGCTTCTCTGCTAACCAGAATTACCTGGAAGCGGCGAATTAGGGAGCCCAATTAGGGAGCAAAACCACCACCAGCCCTTCAACAGGAGTGCAAGAGTCCCTTGACATTAAAAGAAGGCTCTGATCTCTCTCAAACCTGGCTGTCAAACCCAGGCTCTTGGCTCTCTGCTCACATCCCTGAGCAGCCTCACCCTGCAGCCAGCCCGGAATGGGAAGCAAGTCCCTCGGAACAACCCAGCCAGCAACAGCTGCACAAACCCAATAACCCACTGAACATGTGGCTTTGGCTGCCCAGCTTCTCACCACGAGTCTCCAGAAGCAGTCCCTTGCCCGCTGTTCCACTCCACCACCTCAGCAGCAGAGCACTCACTGTGGCAGCCAGGCCTGGCAGGACAGAACCGAGCTCGAGCTCCACAGAACGAACAGAAAAGGAGCCGGATCGCTGTGACTTCCACAACACGGAACAGCTGCTTCCATCCCATCCTTCAGCCATCCCATCCCCTCAGCATTCCCAGCACCTCTGCCCCTCTTCTCGTGGGCCGTGTAAAACCAGTGCAGATGTGACGATGAATTGGAACCCAAGCTACGAAACCACAGCGCTGATTGGGGAAAAAAAAAAAACCCTCCACTTATTCCAAAAATGCTCCTGGCTGAGAGGAATGAGAATGGCTGAGAACGGCACCGTCTCTCGAGCAGCCTCCTCCATCCACACACACCCCACGAGCAGGTCAGACAGATCCTAACGGAGAATTTCCAAGCTAACACCAAAAGTTCAGTTCCCTCTACTGGTAGTGCATTTTTTCCCCTTTGCAGAGATCAACCCATGGCATAACTCACAGAAATCCTTACTTCCATCCCTACAATCAATAAATTATGTGCTCTCACCACCTCGTTCCCAAAGCACGTGACACAGATTTCAGTCAATACACCGATTTTTCCTTAGCTGTAACTTCAAACCCACGTGTCCTGAGCAGCTGGACAAAGATTACAACGTGGGGTTTTGTTTTTTTTACCTGATAAATCTTTAGCATCGACAAACACAGAACGTGATTTGGCTGCGTTCAAACAAACTTTGGTTGACTGCACAGGGTGGGTTCTGAAAGGAGCTTCTGCTCTTCAAAAGCTGAAAAAAATGCAGTGTTTCAATTTAAAGTCAAAAGCAACGACAAAAAAAAAAAAAATACTCTTGACGGACTCATTAGAAAAAAATGCCTTTAAAAAAAAAAATCCAAACATCCACTGTTCATTAAAAAAGGTTATTCCACATGTTAACAGCAGGACTGCACAAACACAGCCTGTGTCACTCCCACTAGAAATTCTGCTGGAGGAATCTGGCAAGTGATATAAATAGGACCCCAAAACGTTCGGAATTCATGCTTGAAAAATATAAAAAAAAGCCCCTTGTGGCACCATTTACCTTGAATTTACATTGCAGAATATAATGTTTCCCTATAAGAAAATGCAGTTAACATGTAAGTGCCTTGAATTAAAAAGGTTAATGATTCTTTCAGCCAATTTTATGCAAAGTTAGAATAATCCAAAATATTTTTTTCTTTTTTCTTTTTTTTTTTTTTTTCCAAAAATAGCAGGAATAGATGCTGTTCAGTATCATACATTTAAAACAGGCTGAAACGTGACTTGTACCGACTGCTGAAGTTGTGTCTTGGTATCTGAGAATAGAAATCAGGTAGGCAAATATAATAGATTACCTCTTACAAAAATAGTAGTAGTCTTTAAGTATAGAATACTGCTTAACTGTTGAAATGTAGGAAAAGTCAGCATTCTGTATGTTCAAGATATTAGTTTTTAATAGCAGCTGAATGATCCCATGGCAGGAACCACAGAACCCATTTTCTTGAAATAAAAAATTAAAAAAAAAATTAAAAAAAAAAAAAAATCCAAAGTTGTCCTTTCCCTCCCAGTGTCCTAGTGTAGAAAAGGGAAAGTTTCCTGTATTTCAAGCATCTCTTGAGTCTTGGCTGAGGGAAGGAAGGGCTTGGTGGCTGACAGGAGTATAAATAGAGGTGGGAGAGGCTGGGCAGGGTCACTCCACGGCGAAGCCGCAGGTCTCCTCGATGGCCGTCAGCAGCTTCTCGTAGAGCTTCTCGTAGCTCTCGTACGGGGGAATGTCGATCCTGTTGAAGCTGAGGGGGGGAACAGAGAGGAGTCAGCTGCCTGAGCTCCCAAAACCACCTGCAGAGGTTTCTGACACCTCATCCAACTGCAAACAGGGGCAGATGAAACACCCGCAGGTCGAGATTCTCTGCTGCGTTAGGGACAGTTCATGTCCCAAAAGGAGGGGAGGACAGAGGAAAAAAGGAGTGAGACTGCTCAAAATAAACAGACAGCAGGTTGGTCTTCATCTACAGATCACAAGAGAGACCTGAGAGAGCCTTACCAGGTATGAGCTTTCGGCAGGTTGTTGGTGCTGGCGTCGATCTGGTGGATGGTGAAGAGCCGCGGGCCTGCAGCACCTGCACGGCAGGACAGGAGAGCTCAGTGCTGGGAGGCACAACGTGAAATGTCTCTGTGGCCCTGCAGCAACCCGAGAGGAGCTAAAACACTGAGAGCAGCTCTGCTCAAAGGAAGGTGAAGCCATGAACAGGCTTTTGGAAAACCCCAGTGGGGTGGGACGCCCTCCCCTCTGCCCAGACAGACAGTGATTTAAACCATGACAAGGTAAAGAACAAAGCACTGATGAGAAGAATAAATCAAGTGTTTCAATGCACAATTCTAAGTTTTTAATTTAATTTCTCTCACCCTTCCTAGGCAGCAAAACTTGCACAGCTGTACCTGTGCCTGTTTTATAACAGGCCCTGAATGTCGGCCAATTCCACTGGAATTCCACAGAGGAGTCACAACACCAATTCCTCATAACTTTGTTAAATTTATCTGACTATTAGAGATCCCCTTAATCTCTCTGCTAAAGGAAGGAGACTGCAGCACAGCAATCCTTCAGGCTTGGAGTGCACTGGAGATGCCACAAAGGACAGGAGAGGTTACAAATGCCCCAACCCGAGCAGACAGACATTAAAAATACAATTCACAGGGTCTGTGTTTCTCAGGGGGGCTCTGCTGTTAAATAAGAGTCTGAGCCTGTGCTGTGTGGCTCCATTTCAGCCTACAAGAAGACTGGTGGTGTTATTTGCTCTGTTAGAAGCAGGAGGTGTTATCTGGTCCCAGAGCTGTGCAGGTGATGTGAGCTTGTAAAAGTCGGGAATTACAAAACCAGGCTTGTGGAACAAACACAGCGAGAACCCCCCTCAGCTGCTCAGAACTCCTGCCAGGGGAGGAAGAGCAGAACCGAAACAAAAGAGCCATTTACACCCCAACAACCAGGTAGCAGATAGAGACACACAAACCAGGGCTGTTTGTGATGCTAATCAGAGCATTAAAATCGCCCCCCAGCCCCATTTCCAGCGTGCCCGGGGTCACCTTGCAGTGCCTTGAAGCCCTGCAGGGGCACTCGGGAGGAGCCGGTCACGAACTGCAGCAGCCGCGCCCTCCTCTCCTCGTCAAAGAGCTCCACGGCCTTCCAGAACCATTTGACGATGTTGCTGTCCGGGGTACAGTGTTTTAACCTGGTGTTCGCCTTCCAGTCGTTCACGTCGATTTTTCCCAGTCCACAGATGATGAGCTGGAAATTTTAAAGGGAATTATTAGAGTATTTCGTGGCTGAGCGGTATAAAAACGGGTTTGGAGGAAGCTAAGTGTTGAAGAACTGATTGGGAAAAACTGGCAGATTTTATACCTGTCACTCATTTAAGCAATGCAGAAATATAACTCTTCTTGTTTTAATTTTACCTTTGTACATAAACTATTTTTGAAATGGCCTCAATTCAAATTAAAAACCAGCAACAAACCAAACAGCCATTTCAAGCTTAAACAGAACTGCCCTGGCCTGTCAGTTAAATAACAGAAGCACAGATTCTACCCCTGAGTGATAAATGCAGGAATAATTCCTACTTGAACTCAGTATTTCTTTCTGGAGAGCAGCTCAGGGTGTAGCTTGGCTGGTGCCACTCTGGATCCCCAAAGGAATCCTGTTCCTGTGACACCACCCAGGTGACACAGAGCAGCCTTTCCTGACAGAGCTTTCGGTGCTCCTGGAGATCCACAACGGATCAGTTCAACTCAGCAGGGATGTAACTGGAATTCTGAAGACATTTTCTTGTGATTAAGGACATTGGACCTTCCCCTTTCCAGGGAACAGAAGCACCAGTGAATAATTTACCTGTGGCCACTTTACATGGTCAAACCCTCAGCTCCACAGCTGGCAGACTGTGATGAGATTCCAGCTGAAAGCAAGCTTGGGATCTGTGGATTTGCCTTCAGAGGATATTGTTTAGATGCCAATCCTGACATTTTGAAGCACAATTGTCTGTGACAGCACCTTCCCTTCTGCTGGATTTACAGGGCCAAACCTCAGCTCTGCCCTCCCTGTGGGAGCACACCTGGAGCCCTGGGAGCACTGGGAACACAGCTCTGGGCTCCTCAGGCTCTCACTGTTCCACTTGACAACACAACATCGTGCACTGACCTCCAACTCCTTCTCATCAAATGTCTTCAGCAGATGTTGGGGGATTACTTCATTAAATCCCTTCTGCAGCGCCAGGAACTGCGCTTCGATTCCTCGTAAAAACCGCCAGTTCACATAAAGTCTGGGAAAAAGTGCAAACTGGGTTTGGGGAAGATGTTTCAAATGCAAGAAACCTGCAGCTTATCCAGCCCCCAAAAAAACTGGCCTTGCTGACAGGATCACACCCTCCAGCACTGCCCAAGCCCTCAGGAGAAACCACCACCACCAACCCAACGCCGACAGTCACCGCGACAAGTAAAATTCCTCCCCACACTAAAAATACTACTAAAAAAACCCAAACTAGAGCAAGCCCCTGCTGTACCTGACATATTCCTTTTTGTTCTCCTCTGTCACGGGGATGCTCTTGCCGTTGGGTTTGAGCTCGTGCTGGATGATCTCCCCGTACGCGTTGTGCTCCACGCAGAACGTGTGGTCCAGCACGCCCGTGATGTCGTTCTCACTGGGGGCAAGGAGTGAATAAAAACATGTTCTGCAAGTGATTCCCAGCCATAACCCATCTGACAGGAGCGCTGTTTCATTTTTCAATGGCATTTCAAAGCACTACAGGGGAACACACAGTTTTCCTATGCTGTATTTTAATAATATGTTACTCAATGTTAGATTTTATTAACATGTTACTCAATGTTATGTTTTCAAACCGTGTTACTGTTATTAAAATATAACATGTTTTATAATGGCAAAATTAGTAACAGGTAACATTAATACATTAAAATTTATCAACTCCCCTCCTGGCTCCCCCTCCCCGGATTTGAATGCCCTGATCATTTTTAGCCTTAAAGAAGCTGAGTTGTGCAAGAAAGATATTTCTTAGGTCTGCCTGAGCAGGAGATTAAAACACATTTCATTTCCACTGGATTTAGGAGCACGACCACACAACTGAGAAAGCATTCCAACATCCTGAGGGTCACTGCAGGGTACATACAGTATCCAGACTAAGCTGTTGTGGAGATCAGGGTCAACCAATTCCATGTCATCCAAAGTAATTGGCTTCCCCAGCAACTGCTTGTAGAAAGGCAACGTGAAGCCGCCGTCGATGTAGTGCCCGTGGAACACGGCCATGCCCATGATCCGGCCCACGAAGTGGAAATAGGACAGGTGCTCCTGGAAGGGACAGCAGGGACAAAGTCAGACCTCCAGGTCACGGCTGCTGGGTGGGAGATGAAATTTCAACACAAAGAAAAGAAGAAACAAACCCAACCCCAACCCCAGTGCAGAGTGTTTGGGTTTGTTCTCATGCACATCCTGCCCCCAGTCCAGAAATCCAAGCAGTGGGGATGGAAACAGCCCCAAGCCCTCGGTCCCAGGGCAGGCCCCGCCGTACCGGGTTGACGGCGGAGTCGGGGTTGATCTGCAGGGTGTAAATGTCATCTCGGGAATACTGGAAGAGCCCGTAATATGGGTTCAGCATCTCATGGGACAACAGGTAGAGCCACTCCCTGGAGGAAAGAAAACCATCTGTTGGTACTTTGGAGACAAATGGATTCCTACACCGAGAATCTCTGCAATGGAGTCTGAGTCTTTTCATCTTCAACAGATGTGAAGGAAGCTATCTCTGAACAGGCTGAGATTAGGCTGAAATCACAACTATTTTTACTGGCTCAGTAACCACCCAGCCCCTGACAGCTGATGGATTTGCCAGCTTTCTGAGATTTTTCTCCAGGTTACTCATTCCTGAGAGTTTCTGAGTGTGATTCTCCTTTCCCCATGACACACCAAGACAAGACACCACCTACTCACGTGACCACATTACACAGATTTCAGAATCAAACCTTTTCACAGAAACCATAATAAAGGTATTTGGTTCAAGTTTCAATGACGTGATCACAAATCAGTAAATAATGGTCTGAGAATAAGGAATGTCACCTTTTATAAGTGAAAAATAACCTCAGACTATTGCCCACCAACTGCTGGTTTTTAATATTTTGCCTCAGTTTGCAAAAAAACTAATTTTTTGGTTTAAGTTGTTCCACAAATCTATTTAGTGGTGTAAATTTTCAGACACTCAAACTTTACCAACCAAAGACAATAATTTCAATAGACACCAAAACCCGTCTCACAGATGGGATCTGTACCTTGTGTTTTGATTTATTTCCAATAAATTAGTGCTTTTTTTGATGCAGTTTTTCTTTTAAGAGACTATCTAAAGCTATATATCCCTCTGAAATACAGTCTGTTAGAGAAATAAATATAAATAAGGATAATGTCAAAGGAGCAGGGCTGGTTTGGGGTTCAAAGCACAGGAGTTGTCAGCAGGGTTGGGGTGCAGGGAAGAGGCAGAGGAGTGACCTCACCTGGCAACTCCTCCATAATCAAGGCCTTCCTCCCCACGGAATTTGATCATTAATCGTTTCCACAGGTCTTTGGGCCTCATCTTCATGACTTGCCTGTAGGATTCCTGTAAACACACAACACTGCCTTTGATTAAACTGCCCCTTGCAGAGTGCTGTGCACTGGAAGTGAAGGGATCAGAGGATCAGAGTCTGAAGGGGATCCTGTTAAAGGGGACACTATTTTCCTAAATACCAACCAGTTCCTCAAACCACAGATTGTTGCTTCATTTTCTACAAGTGTGATAACATCTGACAGTATGATTTTCAAATAAAACAGAGAGATGAGAAGATCCACCTCCTGTTAAACATCCAGAGGTGAGCAGTGAGCAGAACATCCCCTCTCTCATTCTTATGTAACTTATAAAAACCCTAAAATCTGTGTCAGTGAACTCCTTTTGTTTTGCATAAAGGCTTGTAATTTTTGCAGCCTGAAGAGCAACAGAGGAGCTTCTGCTCTGGGCACAACACACGTGCCAACCATCAGGAAGCACCTTCAGAACAGAAGCAGCAATGCCATCCCTGGAAATACAGAATTACTCCTCTATCAGAAAGAGCTCACCCAGAAAACACAGACACAAAGCTGAAAGGCAGAACAAATGCTAATTTTTAAAAAGGAATTAAACAAAAATTGAGTTCTTATTTATATCCAGTATCAGCCCCAATGTGTGGCTCTGCAGGACAGAAGAGGCAGGGGGTGTGCTGGGACCCAACACACTGAACAGGAACACGGAATTCCCAGCGCTGTCCCCTTCCCTCCCTTGCTTTTACAGCTCCTCCTGAACTGCTCTGACTGTCTCCAAAGGGGACACCAACACAAATCCTTCTTGGCTGGGAAAAACTGTGACAACACAGCAGGGTGATCGAGTCTTTGGGTGGGGTAAAAATGCAACAGGGGATGGGTGGGATGGGTGAAAGTTCTCGAAAGGACAAAGTGTTCTCCAGGAAAGGCCAATGAATTATAACTGTGTTGAATCAGGTCAACAGGATGATTCTGTAAAAAATGCCCCAAAACAGAATGCAGATGTCCCACTGTGGGCACCTCTGGCCACTCCAATGCCCAGACAGTTCATAAAATTGGTCTGAACCTGGAGAAAACAACAACAAGGAAAAAGAAAAAAAAATCAACCAGAATTGAGATTGATAGTAAGTCATCCAAAGGCTGAAGAGGAATCCTGCTCAACAGTAATTTTACTTCAGGTACAATACATCACAGAGCACTAACAACTGCTGGGTGTTCAATTTGTAACATCCCCTCTGGAACAGACATAAATTCAGGGAAGAAGTGAGGCAGGATCTTCAGACACACCAAGTGCCTGACTCCTTCCCCAGTCCCTGCCACAGGCTCTGCATCTCCAGCCACAGAGAAAATCTCAATTTTCTCCTTCTCCATAGGGTAAATACATACTTTGTAGACAAATGCATTCCTACATTGAGAATCTTTTCAATAGAGTCTGATTTTTTTAATCTTAAACACAAGCGTGAAGGAAGTCATCTCTGAACAGCTGAGATAAGGCTGAAAAATCAGAGTAATTCTTTACTGGCTCAGTAACCACCCAGCACCTGACAGCTGATGGATTTGCCAGCTTTCCAAGCTCTATCTCCAGGTCACTTACTTAAATTTAAATTTACTTTAATCACACCACTATCTTGACACCCCCTTGAAATGCCTCCTCTTCCACAAAACCCCACCTTTAACCGCGGCCTTGGCCATTCCACCCGAGCGAACGCTCCCGACAACCCCTCCTGCCCTTCCCTCAGCGTCACCAAACGGGCCCCAAATCCCCAATTACCTCAAAAATCTCCTCCCTGGAGACCTCGATGCGACAGTGCCCAGCCTGGGGCTGCTGCTGGGACAGCTCCTGCCTCAGGATCTTCAGCTTCTGCACCAGGTCCCGCTTGTAGCGCGGCACCGTCAGGCACTCGGCCTCGTCCGGGAGCTGGCACAGCGACACCACCTGCTGCTGCTGCTGGTGCTGCTGGTCCTTCAGCTGGTTCTGCCGGCTGCAAACACACACACACACACTCAATCCACACCCCTCCTCTCTCAGAGGTCGAGCTTTGTATCTGAACACTTCCGATTTGCTGGGATTATTAACGGGGATTGCACTGAAAACGTCCGAATCGATTCCGAGGGATTTTTATCCCGGCTGAAGTCGTGCAGTTCTGTCTTTCTTGGCAACCAGCAGTTGTTTTTAGTTGTTATTTCTCTTAGTGCTACTCTGCAGAGCATGTAAAAGGTTACAGCACAGACAGTAAGGCATTATCCACACCATTTCACTGTTGAGCTGCTGACACCGAATTTCTCAGATACCGTTTCCATATTTCCTTCGCGTGTTTTTCCCTTCCTCCACCATTTTAAAAATTCAGGGATCTGCCAAAACACTCTGCCTCTAATCTCCAGTCAATACCATCGTCTGTTTTACATGGCTTGTCTGGAAAAGAGCGAGCTTACAAAAAGATGTTTGTACTGGCAGCTTGGCAAGGACCTTGTCCCTTGTACCTGGCCTAGTCTGGACCACAGGAATGTGGGAGTTCACATGGAACTCACTGGCACAGATAAACAAGTATTTTTACTAGCAATTCCAAGAGATTTTGTAAATCTGACTTCTTACTAGGAAAAGTAAATGGATCATGTTGCAGAGAGATGTGCTCTCTGTGTCTTGCACGCAGCCAGTGGATATTTTTACAGTTCTTAGTGTGGCATTCCCAAACAAGACAGGATAAAACCTCTGTTCTCCCTAAATAAATCTGTGTGGAGCACATGAGAACACCCTAAATTTACTGGATAAATCAGAAATGTTACAATTCAGAATGCTCTCCAGTGGAACATTATTTTTTTTTTCAACAGAGCCCAAAAAAATATTAGATGGAACCAAACAGTTTGAATGTATTTTATAATTTCAGCCTATTGTCTATTTTGAAACAAGGCCTAGCTAAAAGCTCTCCTGGCCAACCAAAATTCACCTCCAGCTTAGCAATAATAACACTTCTTTATTCCTGAGCTCTAAGGAGGGAATAATACACTGAAATCCTGCTTTGTTACCACGTCCTGGGATGCAGAACTTCAGAAGTCAGCTCAGTGTTGGTATTTTCAGTGTTCTGTTTGCTCCTGGTGCTGGTGTTTTTACATAAGGCTACCTTAACTTTAATTGCAAAGCTGATCACACTGGTCTGACAATGAACTGCACTTACTTTAAGTTTTATTTCCTGAAAAACCAAGTAATTCCAATAATTTAGAGACACACACTTGCTGTGGTTCCAGAACGTGGCTCTGTGTCGGTTCTGCATGGCAATGTTCACTTGGAATCAGGTTTAAATATGAATCTCATTTGAACTGCATTTACTTGATAGACAAATTAAAGCAAAATCTTTAATCTGTGTCCTGAACTTTCTAATTCCACAGGGAGGAATATGGGAAAATATTCCTAGTACTTCCCAAAAAAAGGAAGTACAAGGAGGAGAAAAATAAAATGCCATCCTCCATTATTAGACTACAAATAATCAGTGCAGTATTAGCTAAACAATCTGCAGTGCTTAAAATCATTAAACCTCACTTCTCAGTTTGTTTGCACAGCTGAATGAGTTTGCTCCATTCCATACAGTGCTTTAAGGATACAACTAAACACTTTTCAGGTGCCACAACCATCAAAATCCATCACAACCTCTCGGTCAATATTTTAAAACAGAACTGGGTAACGAGTTTGATTATTTTCATAACTTACAATGTCATCACTGGAAGAACAAAGGGCTTTGCTCAGCTCAGCAAGAAAAGTCGGTACCACTGAGAGTAAACTTTTCCTCATGCCTTTCAGCCTAAAACACCATCCCACCCATCCCACCCAAATACTGAATTACTGTCTCAAAAAATTTACAAAATGTCAGGCCCGAGGCAAATTCCTTTTGTTGTTGTGGTTGTTCTTTAAAGAACAAACAAGGAGGTGGGCTTAAGGCAGGGGAAGCTTTCACACATATCCTGTTTGGTGCAATAACAGAATAAACACCCCAGATGATTTATCAGGCAGCAGACTCTGCTGATGACACCGTTGGGTGAGTTTCTGAAATCCTCCCCTAATGAAAGACAGATGGACAAATGAAAAACTTCAGCCCACTGCAGGAGCACTGGAAGTTTAAATAAATGCAAAACGGTTCTGTGAGCCTGGAAATGAAAAGTCAAATTGGGTTTTGCAGCTGACAAAGGCAGCTCTGTATCTGTCCTCCACCATCCAGGCCACCGTGACCCTTCTGCCACTTCCAAATGAACCTGCCTGGGAAGTTTGGCAAATACAGAGTTTGGCTGAATTTTCCATAGTTTAAGAACAGCACTGCTGTAATAAGAGAGTCTGAAGATTTCTTCAGGTAAAATATCTAAATCCGAATCGATTTAAGGAACTTTTCTACCTTTCAAACATGAACATGCTCCTCCACTGGTAAGTTTTTTTCAAGATCACGTTCATTTCAAACCTGGATTAAACTAAAATTAGTAGTGATTTCTTTGTTTGAGATAAAAATATTGCCGAAGTGTCTGGATGAGGGGCAGCTTACTGAAGTCCTGTAACATAAACCTACACAACCACTGATTTCTCTAAACAAAAACACCTATTTGTCAATATTTATAGACTCTTCCCCCTCTTGGGGTGGGAAGTCCAAGTGTATATTGGGCAAAGGCCAGACAGCTTTTGTGTAATGCATACAGGACATGTTGACTCCTGGGTATGACTTTCCATTCCTCGGTTTTGTCTTTTCAGTGCCTGTTCCCATTATTCTTTCCTCCAGCTTTTCTTGCCAATGATTCACTTCCTTTCAGGACTATTCCTCCTACTTGCTCCTTGCCCAGGGCTTTCCCTGGAACCGGCTCTTCATTGTTTCTTCCACTTAACACCCACTCAACACTTTACAGGTGTTTCCCAAGAGTATTAAAAAGGTGTCAGCAGGAGAAACAAAAGAGTCCAACTCCCAAATAGCCACGTCTGGGCGAAAAGAACAGTGTTTGTTTCTTTTTGGTTTTCCATTTTTAGTAGAAAATCCCCACTGTGTAACGAGTGCCGAGGGAATAAAACAAGAGCCAGAATTCTTTTGAGTTTCCCCTTCTCTTTTGAAAACTGCGATATGAAAATGTGATATCGAACCACTAAGGCAGGAAAAAAATGCAGTGCCTGTTCTATTTTAGAATAAAATTAAAAAAAAATAACAACACGGTTTAAACTGTTGGGGTCTTATTTTGAGAACATCTCAACCAGGCCTGCTCTGACACTGAAGGGAGGAGTGAATTATTCCTGCTTTATTCCAGGATAGTTGGGCAGTTGTGCACCAAGTCATCAGCATTTCACACCACTGGCTCACATGCAACTTCACATTTTAAAACAATTTCTCCACAACTGAAACAGAACGAAGTATAAAGAAACTGCAATAAAGAAAACAAAAGTGTCCCTCTTGTTGTTAGGAAAACAAAAAATCCACGGCCAACGTTTCCAACGGGACAGCACTTGCTTCCCTCCCCCTCTGCATCACACCGGCCACATTCCTGCCTAAACGCTCCTTGGGATTTGTTTTCAGGAGCAACCAAACTGGTCTTGGAGAACACTCCTTAAATCGCCCTAAATGAATGAATCCTGATATAAACCCAGCACCCTCCTCTCAGAGTCACCTCCTTCCCTCCATGCACTCAACTCGTGCCAGAGATTTCAGACTCACTTCAGGACCAAGTGCAGGTTCGCGGAGAGCCGCGGGTCTGTGAACTGCGTCGTCCTGTTGTTATGGTCAACAAAATAAACCCTGCCCGTGGCTGTGTTTCGGATCTCCCATCCAGGAGGCAGCGGCCCAAGCTCCTCACAATTGATGTTGCTAAGATCCCTGGGAAAACAAACAGAAAATGAAAAAATACCTCAGCAAATTGGCCTGCGAGCCGGAGCGAGCGTAAATGCGACAGAACAATTCCGTGAAGTCTGAGAAAATGTATTGTTTCAGAAACTTGAGCTGTTCAGCTGGAATCTCTGCTCCCAAGGTGCAAGCCCACCACAGCACAAACACACACCGTGGGGGGAAGAAAGTCCTTATCAAATAACCCTCGTTTTTACAAACCAGCTTCAGCTGTGAAATTAATACAGCCCTCGAACAAAAATAAAGACCATTGCCATATTGGTCAAGATGGAATTGCAGTTCTGCACCGGTTCTGACAGAAAGCATTTTTAAAACAACATTAGTCACGTAAGGAACTGTGAACCACACTTTTTATAATAAAACTCCTACGAAACAAAACTGTATTTCTGTAGAGCTCCAGTTTCCACGAAGAATTACACATGGGATGGGTGTCTGTGGCGCTGGCAATTTTGCCCCCAAATCCCCAGTGCTGGTGGGAAGCAAAGAGCTCTCTAAACAAAGTATTTCAAATCAAGTGTTATCTGAGCAATGACTCAGCTCTGCCCCAAGCAATGCAGAGGTGGCTCAGCAGGCCTCAAGAAACATTCTGCTGCAATTAGGAAGATGCAGATTCATTCCAGAGCTTCACTGAAAACAAACACCGGTCTCCAAAAGTTATTCACGGACATAATTCACACCTCGGGTCCCTCACGCTGTCCAGGGCAGCTCTTTCCAAAGGTTCAGCTCTCCCAGCGTCCTGGGAGTTGAGGGAGGAAAGAGCCAAGGGACAGAATGGCTAAAAAGGTGCCACCTGCAGGGATTCCAGGGACTGGATGGAAACAGGAGGCTCTGGGATTGAACTCCTGCTGCCATTCCCCATAAACACGCTGCTGCTGGACCACAGGGCTCACTTTTGTTGACTACATGACTGTGGCTATCAGCATAAAAACACGATATTCCTCAGAAATGACATCAATTCCACCCCCACGCAAACAGCCAAATGTTATTCTCAGACACACTCACGCAGTTTGTGCTGCCACTCCTCGGGGCAGAGCTCACTCAGGCTGCACACAGAGCTATCACACCCCAAACTTTAGGAATTACATCTTCAAACAGTTTTTGTCAGCGCCTGGTTTTGGATGATACACAAGTCAAGGGCTTCCTAAGGCCCAGCTGCAGCCTCAAAGCAAGGGACAGTCTCGTAACACAGAAACAGTAACAAAAGAACAATTCCAAACACAAGGAAGTTGTGGCCGTGAGGCATCTCAGCCTTCCCAGGACACGCCATTTCCACGGGAAGGAACATCAGCAACTGTCAAAGTCACTGCAGCTCTCACAAATGCCAGCACTGGCTGCCAGTTTCAAACCACACACATCTCACACCACCATCCACAGGCTTTGAGAGCCAAGTGTTTTCAGCAGGATTTCTTGGTTATTTAAAGAACAATTGGGAACTATCAATAATTTCCATTATTATCCTTTCAAACATGAGAAATAATCACATGTACAGTCATGTCCAGTGTGTATATGTGTATCACGTAAATAAGGACAATCAATCAAAAAGACTTTGTATTTATCTTCTCCCAAGTGTTGAGAGAGCTGCAACAGGAAGAGCAGTTTGACTGTTTCAATCCAACCCAGCTTTCCCTGAAGTATCTTGATAAATCTAAATTTTTGGAAGTTCTCAGTCTCTACTTTTTGTTTGATTACTGGATTTGGAATCGATGCACATGCAATATGTAGAATCAGTGAACTCTACCTGCTTTCAAAACACCACTGTAATTTATTTCTTGATTTTCCCTCTCTGCATTAAAACAACAACTTGAAGAACCGAGGAAGAGACACTAATTGATTTTCATGAATGACTTGTTAAAATGATATGTTAAGGGCCAAGAATCAGAAATATAATATTAGACAGAGGAGAGCAGTGCTTAAATGATTTTTATTTGAAACCTGAGGGGTAATTCCATCATTTCTTACCTGGGTACTCTTGGATCGTGCCACGTGCTGACACCAGTCTGAGTATGCAGAAAATAGACCTGGCCTTGCTGAGTCGTCCTTTGTTCTGTGAAGCCAAGACAAAGTAAGAAATGTAAGAACAAAAATGCAACACGAAAACTAATGAGTTCATCAATGTAAGAACAAAAGATGCAACATGAACACTCACAAAGACCAACGTCCCCAGTCTAAGGAATCAAAAGGATCTCACGTACAAGGAGAAGACACAACCCATTTTCCCAGTTTTCTGGAGACTCCTCACATTAAAAAATCTGATTTTCATACCATATCCTTCAGGTAGATCAGGAGGAGTGTGCAAGTGTGTCCTGCTCATGTAGTTCCTGTGCCTCTGGGAGCGGACCCTCCTCTCGGCCAGCCGGGGGTCGGCCGCCTGCCCGCAGCTCGCGCCGTTGGTGCCCGTGATCGGAGTGTTCTCGTCCACAAAGCAGCTCAGTGGCCTGCCCGGGCTGGAGTACTCGGATGCTGGCCTGGGGAAGAGGGGAACGTGGCACCCTGACTGGATGTGGGCCGTGGGACACCCCCTGCACCTCGGGGTTCCTCGGGAACGCTCTGCGGGAGCCGCTGCCGTGCCGAGCAGGACACCCCGATGGAGCAAAGCTGCTGTTCTGGGCTCACAGGGGTACACTGAGAGTCACACAATGTCACACAATGTCACACAATGTCACACAATGTCACACAATGTCACACAGTGTCACACAGTGTCACACAATGTCACACAATGTCACACAATGTCACACAGTGTCACACAATGTCACACAATGTCACACAATGTCACACAATGTCACACAGTGTCACACAATGTCACGCAATGTCACACAGTGTCACACAATGTCACACAATGTCACACAGTGTGCTGGGCTGGAAGGACCCACAAGGACCACCCAGTCCAACTCCTGGCCCTGCACAGGCCCAGCCCCAAGAGTCACCCCCTGTGCCCCAGAGGATCAGCCAAACCCTCCTGCAGCTCTGGCAGCCTTGGGGCTGTGCCCACTGCCCTGGGGAGCCTGTTCAGTGCCAACCACCTCTGGGGGAAGAACCTTTCCCTGGGATCCACCCTGAACCTGCCCTGACACAGCTCCAGCCATTCCCTGGGGGCTGCCCCTGTCCCCACAGAGCAGAGCTCAGTCCTACCCCTCCTCTGCCCTCACCACAAGCTGGAACTGCACTGAGGTCTCCCCTCAGTCTCCTCTGCACCCCCAAACTCTCTCCCCCTGCCTTCATGTGGCTCAGGAAGTGACCAGGCCTTGTTATTCCTTCTAGTTTGTAAGGAAGGTTTTTTAGAAGAGGATGCTGAAAAAGGGCTAAGCAAGAGAAAAAGCTGTTGAGAGCTCAAGTGCAAGAGGAACATTGAATTGTGTGATTTCATCTCTCAGTGCTGCTCCCAAAAGGATTTAAAATGGGTTAAAAGAGGATTGACAAGGTCACTTGAAATCCCCAAAACAAATGATACATTTTACATTTGTTTTTCTACTGTAAATGCGTCTGGAGCTTAGAATAGGTATTTTAACATACCAGGAAAAATAAAAATAGATAAATTAAAAAGCTGTTCAATCCCTTCACTCCAAAACTGCATGAGAGTTGGCAGTGTTAACAGTACAGATTATTTTAAGTCAAATATATCCATGCAGAGACCAGAATAATGTCGAGAATGGAAAAGACACTCTGCAGGCAACAGAGAGTCTGCAAAATCTGCAATGACACTGCCTGCAATTCAGGCAACAGCAGAAGTGGTTTGAGGAACAGCTTCACTACACACATCCACAGGTACCAGAAAAGGTGACTGAAATGGTTTTCAAACATGCTCTGTTTGGATCAGCTCTAACTATTCTGGGTTATTCATGGTCATGCCATGGACAGAGGCAATGTCTCACAGCTACTCAGGATATCCTTTCTTCAAGAAAACCAAAATGAAAAAAAATCAACTCAGAATGATCTTGTGAGTGAAATATTAGGCAGATTGAAGGAGTAAGATGCTAAAGAGGAAAGCATAACCTTGTGTAGAGTGACTTGGAGGAATGGCCAATACCCCTGGAGTCACTCTAGTGCTCAGCAAGCAAAACTCAGCCCATCCTCAGTGTCCCCAAAATCGCTCACCGTGTCGGTCGCTCCCACTGCGTCGTCCGCGTGATGTGATTTAAGTACTGGATCCTTCCAGAGGCAGTTCTGCGCTCCTCCCACCTGCAGTCCAGGGGAGATAAGGCAATGAGTGGTACTTCCAGGAAACCAGGGCACAAAATATTTCCAACATAAATGCCAGCTCAGGAAGACCTGCTCTGTTCCGAATCACGGTGGCCAAACGAGGTAACAGGAAACAACCGAAAGCTGAACTCTGAAATGATTGAACGTGTTCTCCCCTTGGACCCAGGCACATCATTCACAACATCACACCTTCATGTTCCATAACTGCTCGAGTTCAAATTAAATCCTAACAGCCACATAAAGGAACTTCTTGAAACCAGCACGTTTAATAATGCATTGAAGTTGTCTTGACCGCTGACTCCAACGAGTGCTTTCACGGCATCTTCACACACTGCTTGCTTTCATTAAAAAATCAGCTTCAAACACTGTGACTTTTTAATTATTATTAATCTGGCACTCCAAAACACACGAGGTTGGACGGGAAGCTTTGCAGTCACACAATTAAGTGAGCAGTATTTACACAAGGAACGTTTTGAAGTGAAGATTTGGAAGCATTTTCAAAAATGTTTTTGACTTATCTGGACTCCAAATTAACAAAAGAATGCTGTTTAGGGCTCAGATGCTAATCTGCATTTCAAAATTCATCATCTGAAACCTCAGTTTCCCCTGTCTTTACCTGCCAAGAATCCCATTCAGAAGGCCTGTGTTTGCTCTGACAGCACCAGAGCCTAAACCAGAGCATTTCCCTGTGCCCTCCAAACTGTTTTAGGTGATAATGATGTCATTAACTCTCCCAGGGACAAACCAGAACCCTAAACCTGGCCTTTGGGCAGGTAAATGCAGTGAGAACTCAGGCTGAGTGCAGACCTTTCCTGATCATGTTTTCTTCACTGTGATAAACACGGAATAAACTGTGACTCGTGTTTATCACAGTGTATTTATGATAAACAGAAGGCAGCCAGGCCCTGTGATTGCTACAAAACCACTACATGGATAAGCCAATCTGCTGCCTGGGATCTAACATTACATTAATTTCTCAATTTTAAAACTTGAAAGCCACGTTCTCTGAGTGTGTTTTTCAGTGCATTTGTTCACGTGAGCCACGTCCCCATTCACTGACAACTCCTGTGTGTGTCCCAGCTGGCTTAGCCCCTGCTCCTGAGTGCACAACTGCACAACTCCCGGGGCAAAAATAAAAATGAAGTGATTTATTTGCACACTGGCTTCTCCTTAGTGCAGAGGTGTGTTGGGTGAGCTGTATTTGTGTTCACATCACTGCTTACCCATCCGGTAAATCGTTGTCGAACAACCGACTGCAATCCACGACTTGTCCCCCTGTGCCTATTCGGTCCCTGGACTGGAGACTCACTATTAAGAGAATAAAAGGATTATTAAAATGATGATATCTGAATGCCAATGAGACAGTCACTTTGAAAGAGAACTGGGAGGACTTGGGAGGGCTAAGCTGAGCCATGCTCTGGATGGTTTCTTCCTTCTCACACATTAAAGATGGTCAGACAGAAACAGCAGAGAGAATTCCATGTATGAGAACATACATCTCAATTCAAAAAAAAAAGTCAGAATATTAAAAATGAAAGACTATCAGTGCAAGTTAGGGCAGAAAAAGAAGTGAAATCTGAAGCTGTCATTAACTTTTCTCCATATGAGGTGGACTCTGACACTTGAGTGGTGGCAGGAGGGGCTTCAGGGCCAACAGGAGAACTGCTAAAATAAGGAATTCTCTCTGGTTTTGACTCCTTCTTACGTGTTTTGGGTGCCACGTCCACGCAAACACAAAACCCAGGCAAAATTGAACTGCTAGAAGCACTGCATGTCTGCTTTATTATTTCTAACACCAGCAGTAAGAAGTCAAATGCAACCCACACAAAGCACCCTGAAAAGCCCTCACTGCCCTCAGCAAAACTGCTTCACTTGGGTTTTAATTTAACTTTTCTTTCTTTTTTTTAACCATGATTCATTGTAATGGATATTTATGCCTGAAGCTTTTGTACTGCAATTATGAAAACAAAGATTTATTTTTTATTTTTTTTCTTAGGCTGCCTTTGTTCCCAATATCACAATTTGCAAGTGTCCAATCTGATAATTTATGACACTCGTGTTCCTGCGGGGTTGGGGTGTGTTTTTTTTGATGTTTTGTTATGCCTTTAACAATAAAACAATTGCTTACAAAGCTCAAGACGTGCTGTGGCCCACATTTCTTGAGGTGGCAACACAACTGTCTTCAAGTCCTACTTGTAAATGCAGTGAAATGACCTTAACTTGGTTGCAACCAAACTTTGGGCAGGATCACAAAGCTTCAAAAGCTGGAGCAGAACGGGCAGCTTTTGCCTGAGCCTCCAAATTTTCAACAATCAACACATTTTGCAGCTTAGAATTCAAGAGACCAACCCAGGGAGCCCTGCAGTACCTGCTGCATTCCTGACCCAAAGGAACTCCTGGTCTAACTAATGTTACAAAACGACTTCTTGGAGAGAAAGACACCTTTAATTTCAACCAAATCAAAATTTAGATGATGTATTTATTCTGAAAGAACCCCACACACTGCAAGTTTGATTTGCAAGGTTATCATCTGCTGAAGGTATCAATTACATTTTAGTATTGTTTTCAAATCTTGCACAGTCTCTTAATTTAAGACAGTTTATCCTTTGAAGAACTGAGAGTATTTACAACTCATTCTACCTTCTTATTTATTTTTAACCTGGATTTCTCCCCCATCTAACCACTGCAGTGGAATTATCTAGTTTTACTCAGGCTCATTCACCCATTCCACAAAACTGCATTCATGAAGAAAGATTAAAATATAAGAAGATTAATAACGACAACTTAAATAAAACAAGACAGGAGTCCCTGGAATCTTCCCAAGGATGCATTAAATTAAAACAGGGCCATGATTGAGCAAACCTGACCTTTCTGACGAGAGCAGCAGGAAGCAGAACACACAGATTGGCTCTGGGTCTCTGCTGAAACCCCACAAGGTGCTTTTTTCTGGGTTCAGTGCCCGATCCAGCAGCTCCTGCTGCTCAGGGATCCCCACAGAGCCAGTGCTGCTCTGGCCACACCACTTTCTGTGGGCACAGCAGGTTAAGCCAACCTGTCAGTCCAGTCCATGCCTACAGTGCTGATTAGTTCTCTCACCAGTTCACTTCTCTCTCACCAGTTCTCTCACCAGTTCAGTTCTCTCTCACCATTGCTCACTGCAACAGCTTTGCCCCAGGCCTCCCATCTGGCATCCCAGCAGCCCTGAGCCCTTTCAGCTTTGGGGTGGGGTTTCTGGTTTGTTTTTTTCCTTTCCTGTAAGGAATGCCAGCATTCCCCAGCGCTGATGGCCAGGATGTGTGTTCCATACTCTGGAGGGCAGCACGGGAGCACGGTCCCTGCTCCCAGCACAGCCTGGGCCAGCTCTGCTGGCAGCTGGGCTCAGCCCCCTTTCAAAAGCAACCCCCCAACCAGAACCTCCCCCATCCACCCCGGATGCTCAGGGGACCAGAACACTGGAGCAAACCCAAAAAGCAAACCAAACCCACAACATAACACACCCTGCAAGAGAGGCTGGTTTATCCTTCACCCTTCTGTGCAAGTTCACGTGGAAAATTAACACTCAAGAACAGCCTGAAGTGTCAGCAGTGCACTGACAGTTCCACATTTCTACCATCATTTCACTCTCCTGTGCCACCACACTTTTATCTTAATGCTGTGCATGAAAATTGACATTCCTTTGCCCCACATCCAAATATTCTCATTAAGACCTTGCTTTATAAAAATAAAGGCCTTCCTTATCCTGACCAACTTTTGGCTGTGGCCCGTTAGAAACACTTCACGAAGAACTGAGAATGCACCAGAACGTTTATGAAGTTTTTTGTGGATATTTGTTTTCCAATTTGCCACCTTCTTTCCAATTTTTAAGTTATGATTCACACAATGACAAAGCCCAGCTACTGAGGTTGGTGACAGACTTGTTAATAAGCCGTGAAAACACAAGATGAATTGACCAAGTCACACCAGACAGCAATTCCCTCCTGTCACAGCAAGATGCTTCACCCTTTTCCAAGAAGCTCAGCTTTGCTGGGGCTCTCAGTGGCCAAGGATTTTGCAGTCAGTTTTCCATGGGGAGTTCAGGTTCAAACTGTCCCCATTCTTTACAGTGAAATAAAAAACCTCAAATAGGTTTTTTTATTATCTATGGTCTTATTTGCCCCAACACTTCTTATAATATTTTTGGTTTTGTTTTTGTTTTTTTCTGTGTGTGTGGTTTGAGCATTTTGGTTTGGATTTTCTGCCTTTTTTTTTTTTTTTTTAAATTCTCTTCATCCATACTTCCAAATGGCTCTGGCAGTAGACACTGAAGAATTCAACACAGAAAAATGACATCTATTAAAAGATGAAAAGCTTTACTTACCTACTATCTGCCCTCGGACAGTATCGTTGTCGTTTGGCCCAAGCTTGCACAGATCCAACCTCTGATCTACAAACGGAGGACACAAAGTGTAAATCCCACAATAAAACACCACCACGAGCTACCAAAGCATAAAACCCAGCAAAACCCCATTAACTGTCACAGTCTGCACATGCAAGTTTGGTGTGAGAGAGAAGAAACGAGTCCAGCTTACTTACAACCAGTGTCTTTAAGGCGGTTGATGGCATTTGAAAGAAGCCTCACGCAGCCCAGAAAACCAGCTCCCTGCTTTTTATGGATCTTCTTGTGATTCCACACGCTGATTGTTATTGAATCCGACTTCCCAATGTACCTGAAAAACGTGGACAAACAGCCCTGTGAATGGCACTCGCTGGATATTTGGACAATGCTCCAGAAATCACCTTGAGGGTGGGGGGAATTATCAACCACTCCATTCCAAACATCACACAGGGCAAGAGAGAGCGAGTCATCTGCAGGTTAGGATGTACACTCCATACTCTGATGGAAGGAGTTCCCTGGAATACAGACCAGTCTGAAAGCCTGGCTCTGGCAGGAGGCGTTCAGGTGACCCAAAGTCTGGGAAATCCGGATAAAACAGCGACACAGCAGGCCCAGGGCCGGCCCCTGCCACAGCTCTCCAAGCAGCCACAAACATGCTCAGCCTCATGCCCTGCTCAGCCCGGCCACGGGGGATGATGGAATGCTGCTGGCAGCAGGGTCTGGGAGCAGGGGCAGCAGGGACAGCAGCCCAAACACCGGCACAGCAGCTCAGCATCCTCCTGCAGCTGCTCCTCCAACCCCCAGGAAAGCATCGCCCTCGCTCAGAGCCCTTCCCGGCACCCACACCCTCCCACTGGGGCCACATCTGCAGCCATCTGCAGAGTGCTGGGGGCTGATTTACCGGGAGTCATGTATGCTGGTGACATACATCACCCATCAGGAGCACGCCAGAAGGTTTTAGCTGAGATGGGCCACGTTTCCCCCTCAGCCCTGCTCGCGTGGGGCTGACTCCTCGCAGCATTCCCACGGCAAAACCTGGCCCTGCATCCCACTGGCCTGGGAAAAACCTGGACACTGCAGGCTGGTTTATTTGTGCTTTTTTTTTGTTTTGTTTTGTTTGAAGCTTTTGTTCTTCAGAGGCAATTACACTGTGAGTTAGTTTTTTGTTTTCAAAACTTCCAGAGGACAATTCCAAAACACTCCAGATAAATCAGCAATTGCCAATACTGAACTATTAGAGTTGTTTCAAGTTGAGGGAAATGAATTTGTAACTATGGCTTAGATCCCAAGAACTGCTTGTAGTTCTCCCTTCCCAGACCACAAATTCTGGCCTTAGTTTAGTTCCAAGTGCTTTTCTTTTTTTGTTTGTTTTCAGATGAAAAGTGATCAAACTCACTCAACCCATGCCTAAATACATCTCCCCATTGACTGTGGCTTGATTGGCTTGAAAGCATCTTAACATTTTCAGAAAGACAGAAATGATACTGTCAAGGTTGGCAAACCAAATAATTGAGCTAACTGTCGTGGCTTAAAATTCCAGCTGTGACCAGGTTAACACTTCTCCCATTTTCCCTTTCCCAAAAAGCAGGACTTTGACAACTCCTTTTTTTCCCCCCACCTGCAGAGACGAACTGACCCAAGGAGACAGAAAAGCCTGAAGGTTTCAAACAACCCCTGCACATTTTAACAACCACAACAACAAAAAACCCAAAACCCAAGCAAAACACAAACTTCATATAAAAAAAAAACCCAAGTTTTTTGAATAGTGAACTGATTGCACAATATAGGTCAGATTTTTGGCCTCACAACCTTGACAATGCCAATTTTGCGTAAAGAAACGAGATGAGGATGGGGATTCACGTGCACAGTCGCAGTCTACGATGTTTTATGTACTTAAAATAAAGTCTTATGAGAACAAATCAGGTGCACTTTAAAAAAAACAGAGACTTATCATGACCTGTCTTGAATTTTCCAGTTTTCCTTGTTGCTTTAAGAAAGTCAAAGGTAGATGGTTAAACACAATTTCATAACAAGAGCAGTTTGAATAACACGTAGAACAGCTGAATATACAACACAGTTTCCAAGAATCCCTGTTTTCAGGGGGAGGTTCCCTTGGTTGGGATGCAGGGAATTGCCATCCACACCAAGCAGGTGAGGACTCCACATCCTGCTACAACCTGCTCTGATTTTTGCATCCCAAAACCTGGCTGGTTCACATATTTAACAGGAAATAAGTGACACAAGCTGTGTTTTCCAAATAAAAATGGCTTTTTTATATATATATATATAAAGGAAGAAGAGAAATATTTAGTAACTTCTAGTTGGCTTTATAGCAAAATAATCTACATTTCTGCGTAATTTCAGGCATGGAAACCCCTGGTTGCATTTAGAGAGTGACGGTAGGACAAGCTGACATTTCCAATTCGTTTGGTGGGCAGAGTTACATTTGTTTTACATCATCTGGCAATAAAGCTCCAACATAAAAGCCTCAGCTAGGAATTTGATTTTTGATTAAAGAAGAATGTTCCAAAAAAATAAAAGTGCAACAAACCAAACCAGAAACAAAAACCACACCCCCCCATTTTGTTGGATGACTCTCTCTTCCTCCTCATAATTAAAGTTCTTGGAGCTTATTTTCCTTTTTTTTTTTTCCCCTCTGCCCTATCAGCAATTTTGATTTCACAGCTTTAGTGCTTCAACAGAGATAACAGGATTAGTATTAACGAAGCGGAAACACAGAAATTCAATTTCCATTGACATTTTGTTAAGTTCCATATTTTCTGAATCTGTAAAATCAGGGCTCTGGGTAAGAGCTGCACGTTCAGAAATTTCAATTTCCCTGCTCTTGGCACTCACACTTCTAAAAGGGAAATATCAAGCACATGTCATCCTGGAAACCTCTTAAAAATGTTTTAGTAAAATTTAAAACACAGGGGCAATTTTGCCTGAACAAGATTCTCTTTGCCAACGTGGTTTTTATTCTGGAGCCAATACACCCCCCAGGAAGGTTTGGGATCAAGTGGCTTTTCATCCCCATGGCATTGGATCCACTTTCCCTGAAGAGCTCAGCTCCCTGCAGAAAAATGTGGAATGAAGGGAGTGGAAAAAACATATTCCTGAAAAAACCACAGCTCTCCCTGCCCAGACACGCTCCAGAAAGAGGGAAAAATGCCCCATCAACAGGTATGAACTCGGAGCTGGAAGCCAGGATTTCCCTGTTTCTAATCCATCCCAGTTTTTCCTCTTCTCTTTTCCTTCTCCCTCATCCCTGGCAGCAGCTGGAGGGTGTTTGAGCTCTGGGATGGGCACAGGGGAACCTGTGGCTTAGGCAGGAGCAGAAGGCAAAGCTGCTGCACTTGGAGCTGCTTGGTGGCTCTTTGGGAGTCTAATCCAGGCTGGGATTGTCCCACCCAGCACTAAGGAGAGCTGTTGCCTCCTCTCCCTTGAGAAAAATCCAGGATCATTAGCAAGAACTAGGCAAAGTTGGAAAATTGGAGGGGAAAAAGCAATTGTGCCAGGGCAGCACAACAGCCCGAGGGTGGGAAGGGACCAGAGAGCACCAGAACCTGCAGTGAGGGGGTTGTGGGAAGGGGAGGAGTTAGAAGTGGAAGTTGGGTGAGGTTACACCTGAGAGGTAGCACAAAGGAGAGCAACAAGTCCATGCTGGAGCCTGGGGGTGAGGGTTTGAAGGGCACAGAGGAGAGACGGGAGCAGGACCTGGTTTTGGTGATCATGGCACAGACATCTTTTAGAGGTAAATGCGTGGTGTGATTTGGTGAGCTGGCAAGGCTGTAGGAGAGATCACTGAACAGGAGGGGAAGGAAGGGAAAAAGGGCATTTGTTCAGGTTCTGACCTGCTGGTTTAGGTAGTTTAGCTCTGAATGCAAGAACCTGGTTATTCCAAAGCTTTGAGGAAAGGCCTGAACACAACAGGGGAAACACAAACAGGACTGAAAAAAGGGCAGGGGAACACACCCAGGGCAAGCAGGGTACTCTACTGACACTAAACTACATCCAGACACCAACTATTTGGCAATTTCTTCCTGGAAAGCCTCCCAGATTCCCCCCATCAACACACACACCCCATCGAGGCTGGAGAATCCCAGCAACTCATCCAACCACTTCCTTTCACACCAAGATCTGAATTAAGAACCACATCAGGCAAACACCAACCCTTTTTTTGCTCTTTACAACACTGCAGAAGTGTTTTCAAAAAAAATTCTGATACAACAGAACATTTATTCTGCTGAATCAGGTTAGCAAGTCCCAAAATTCCACGGGAATTAGCAACTTAACTCAGACATTATTGCACAAACACATCCCAACAGCTCCACCTGACTGTGCCATTTGCATCTGCCACCACCTGACGGATGAGAGTGTTAATTAGCAGCATGTTAGTTAACCTGCTGAAAATTCCAGGCTGAGGACACTTCAATCAGCCCAACACAGTGGCAGAGACTGTGGTGTCCCCATGCAAAGCTGTGTCGTGAGGGAAAACATTAAGACATTTAAAATCCCTGTTGTTTTCAAGAATAACCAGAAAGATTGAAGTCCTGTAGTGCCTGAGGTTTGCCACGAGGGGCTTTGCAGTAGGATGGTTACTATTCCTTTGCTTCTCCCTAAAATAAAGGTTAATTATCTTAATATCTAGTGCAGATGAGAAGCTGAGACCTTACACTGGGTATATCACACTAAAGTCACCTTAAGACAAAAGCCAGGCAGTGAATTGTTGTACCAAAGAGATCTAAACTTTTACTGCTGATTTATTTGGAATAAGAGGCAAAACTATAAAAAGGGTTAAATGATTATGAAGAAAATTTGGAAAGGAAAAAGATTATTTTCAAATTGCAAGGCCTGACATAACTTTTACTTTGGATTAGAAATGCTGGATACACTTCTGTCACCAGGGAATTCAACAGCCAGCATCAAGCAAAGTAGTTTTCCCTCCATGGCAAGTAATTTCTATTGGGAGTAATACACTAATTAACCAAAACCTAATTTTTAAGGGATGTTCTTCCCCAAACAAGAAAATAATAAAAAACCCACCACCCACAAAAAAATAAAAACGCTGGGACAGCTACAGGATCCAGATACAACCATGGCCTGCTCTATAAAACCACCTAAAAACACCTTCTGTTCAGCCTTCCTTAAAAATCATAACCAGAAAGGAATTTTTTCCTAAAGATCTGACTATTTTTTTCCCATTACTCTGGTTGCACATCAGCATCCTCCCTCATTTCCCACGTCCTCTGCTCCTCAGTTTCTCCAGAAGGGAATCAAACCACTCGCCCATGGAGCACTGAGCATCCCTTACAATCCATTTGCTAAGTTTAATAACATTTTAAAAAATCAAATTAACTTAAATTTTTTGAAATATAAAGATCCATTCCTTCTCCACGAGCTTAAAACTTGTTTTATATCCATTTTTCTGATAAACACGAATTACAGTCTCCCATGCAGAACCTAAACCTGGCCTGGGTTTGGATAATAAAACTGTAATTCCATTATTTCCCTAAACTGCCACGGTATTTTGTTAAGCAGTAATGAAAATGCTCTGCATCCTGCACATTATGAACAATGACTTCACATCTTTAGCCTTGGCTATTCAAATAAAGAGTAGAGCAAGACATGAGTTTAAAACCAGGCCTTCCACATTCTGCTGACAGACCCACCAAGCTGCTTTTCCTCACCTGGAAAAGGAGGGGACAAGAAATTCTCTGTGCCCAAATAATTGATCTGCTGTAGGTTTGGTGATGGCCAAAGCTCACAGAAATAATGCTCAAACAGTTTTTAATAACACAGGATAGGGAGTGGAGCCAGGGGAATAAAGTCAGAGATCAGAACAGGAGAATATAATGAATTAAATGAATGAAAACAGTTCCCCAAGAAAAAAAAAAAGATAAAGAATAAAAGACTAAAAGGCAGGGAAAATAAAGCATCCACAAACACCAAGAGACCTACATAAAAATAGCAGCTTTAATAACTGGTATTATACAGAACAGTCTGTGCTTTCGGAAGACAGAGGAAAACCATGACATGCATGTGCCATACTGATCATACTGCTCAAGTGATGGTAACAGCAATTCCTGGTGGGAAGAACATTTGGGACAGAAAATGACAGAAGAGGAAACTGATACACAGAGAAAAAAACACTGCAGCACCACGACAGACAAAACCAGCATCGAGAGAAGAGGGAAATATTGTCAATTATTTGCTTCGTTTTACACAAGTGTTAACATGAAAAGATTACAATAAAATAACGCTGTGGTACATGGAAGGCAAGCTGCAGAAATCACTGCAGAAATCACCACCAGGAAAACACAGGCAGGGCTCAGATTCTGAAATGAGAAAGGGGAATTTTGATACAGGTATTTTTCACTCTGACCAATGAAGGCTGGGATCCTTCCCAGAGACACAGGACAGGACACTGAGAACACCTGACAGTGTCTGGGTGCTTTAGAGGATTTCACTTCAAACCTTGGGTTATCACTGTTACCACCTACAGGTCGTAATGCTGATTCCACTTGGGATCAAGTGTATTCTTCACAGTATCTGTAGAATGGCATTGGCCAGATCCGTCCACCACAACCTTGGCAAAGGGATCGGGGAGTCCTGAGGGGAGGAAAAGAAATAAGAAATAAAAAACAAGCCTGGCAAATGGCTCAGGATGCTCTGAAGCCCTGCATCATTGCACAGGGAATTCACTTTTTAATCTCTTATTTTGAGTTGCCTTCTATTCATAAATTTGTATTTAGTGAATGGGAACAACAGGACGTGTTAAGCACAGGGATGGTAAATTAGCAAATTATTTCACTGATGTGGACTGAGAAAAAGTTGTCTGAGTCAAACACATTGGGGAAAAAAACTGAACACCTTAAATCTTCCTAATTCAGGGTTAAATACAAAGCATACAAAGAAGTCAGCCAAAGGCAAAGAAAACAGATTTACATTGTTCCTATGTTTAAGATTTATCACAACCACGGTTTTGGCTGATATTGGTATTACAGAAAATTGCCTCTAACGGGTTATTCTTGCTTTTGAGGGGCACTTGGTTTCCTGCTAAGCTTCTGCTTCGTTGTCTGCCACCTCTGCACCTCAGAAACCCCGAACACCAGCCCAGTGAACACCCAAAATCAGTGCTAAGATGGTGCTGGACTGCCCAGCTGGGCATGGAAAAGCAGCAGGAGCAGCCCAGAATCAGCACAACCAACTGCTGGATTCTGCCCAGGGATCCACTGAGCCCAAGGATGGTCCCACCACTGATGTCCCCAGGTCAGCTTGTCCTGTCCCTTTTCCCCCCTCATCCCAGTGCTCAGTGAGCCAGCTGGGGGAGCTGAGATGGGAAACATCAATCCCATTTGCTGTGGGGCAGTTTAGTCCCAGTGCCACTTCCTCAGGTGACTCAGGTGGAGCTGGACAGGACAAGAGCCAGAGAAGGCACGTGGGGAAGGGGAGGAACAGGACCCTGGCATCTACTTTGGGATCTGTGTCCCAGTCCTCGAGAGCATCACAGAGCTCACATCTTGACTTGCTTCGGGTTTATTTTCAAGGCACCATTAAACTGTTAAACACCCAAGACAAAAATCCAGATCAAAGAGGAATATCACAAATCACAGGGTAATTCTGTATCATCCCCCTCTCCAAAGTTCTTTCCAAAGCTCAGGTCTGATGTTTGGAATTCCTCCTGCTCCCAGGTGATCTGTGTGTGTGTGCAGACACAGACAATAACATTCCTTTCTGCCTCCTTCATCTGCTTCTTAGCACTTCTCTCAAAACATTATTAAAATTAATTAAAATATAATTTCAGAGTAGGTCGGTATTATGAGGTGATTATTAATAATTAAGAAGCGCATCTGTTTGCTTGACAAAAAGTTCTTACATGAAAAACATTTTAATAAATATATGACACTAATTGAAAAACATGTCATTTGCCTGAGTGGGTACATTTGTCTCCCACTCCCATAAAACCAGAGAGAGTGTGTCAGTGCTTTAATTATTATTATTATGAAAATCTGATGAGTGTCACTTCAGAAAAAATTAGAAGCCCTGAAATAAAACAGTGTGAAAACATCAAAGCCCTCACCCCCTCATTGCAAATATCTTAATAAAATGATCATGTGCAAACAATGGGCTACAGCACCTGCACAACATTTATCCCACCTATAAATAAATGTATAAAATTACTTACGGAAAAAATCCTTTTTCACCAGGTTTTTTGCACACAGTACTGCAAGAGAAACAGAAAGGCAAAATTAAGTTCCTGGTTGAAAAGAAAAAGTCACTTCACCTGTCCAGCACTCCAGAAAATCCCGCTCAAAATAAAAGGAATGTAAATGAAAACTGAGCTCCTTCATCATTTATATCGTTCTACAGCCCAGCAAAAGCTTCCCTGGTCATAAAAAGGAGAGTATTAGGCAGCCAAGGCTCTTCTGTTATCCTGCACGGTAATAAATAAAAGGTTTTACCTGAAAAACATCTGGGTGGAGCAGACTAACTTCTAAGGCCAGGGTTTTGATGGTTCCAAAGATATCTTTTATTTGTAATAGTTGGTAATTGTTTCAGGGTGGTTTTTTTTTTTGGGTTGGTTTGTTTTAAAAGGGGAGGAACATTTAAATTTGTCAGCGGAAAATACCAAGGGGAAAACAACCTCCCCCGAGAATAAATTTAAATAAACAAATAAATAAATAAATGAAAGGTCAAAGGGGACAACTTTCATATGAAGGTGCCAAGGTACACAATGAAGGCTTCTCCTCACTAACTGCAACACGTTCAAGGCTTATCTATTATCACAGGTTTAATAAGCAGGAAATATTAAGATTCCCCCGTGAAACATTAAAATATTTACTGATAACACAAAAGGATTCTTGGGGATTGAGTAAAAGCACAAATTCCCACAGCCAGCACAAAAAAAAAAATTAAAAACAGGGGAGTGGGGGAGATATTTGGATGGAGCCGATACTGCAGGAGGCTCCTCGCTGTTCCGTTCCCTGGGATGGTTTTCCTATGAGGTCGCCAATATTTATCAGTGCCAGGAAATGCAAAGACAGAAAAGTGCATCCAATAATCCCACCCCACAGACATCACCTAAAAGCACACAGAGTGGGCCCTGCTTTCCCCCCCAGGGTATCCCCACGCTGATCCTGAAGGGCTCCTGCTTCCCTCACTCCTTTTGCAGGATCTGAGGGAAAGCAAATAGAGCAGTCCACGAACACTCCAAGTGTCCAGCAATTCAAAGTCGACTCTATTCACACCCTGGAGAACAACTGAAATGTATTTGGAGAAACAGATTATAAGACAAAGCTAGAAAACTGCTTTTGCAGTTCCTTAAGGTTTTGTTACAAGGACATCCTCACCTGCCCAAGAACTGCGAGAGGTTATTGCTCACCAGCCACCTTGCATGTAGTGGTGAAAATCTTCATGGAAAATAGATGCTTGTATAAATGGCTTTTTTAATATATTTAAAAATATATATATAATTAGTGTCACAATTCCAACCATTACAAGTAATGGGAAGTGTCACATGAAGGTGAAGGCTTTAAATCCAACAGTTAAGTCAAAACTCATCGACAGCACAGTGAGCCATACAGGGTGCTCCTGGGACTCTCTAATGCCAAGACAAAAGAGGTTTGACTAATCTTTTGAGAGACAAATTGCAAGGTTAACTAATTAACACGCCCCTTTTCAAAACTGCAGCCAGCCTGCCAGTGCAGTTTAACCCCAGTCCCATTTTTATAAGATCAGGCACATGCACAGCACACAGACCAATAACTGCTCCCCCAGCAATTAGCCAGCAGTGAACAAACTCATATTTTTGGCTCGAGGTTGCCCTCTCCAGTAACCACAGTTAAGGAAAGTCAGATGTCAACCCACTCTGGCTTTGTCAGGTTAACAAAACAGGAGAGATGCTGAGAAGCCTTCCATTAACAACACCCCCTGTGCCAGGTATTTTAGGTGAGAAAGGCCAGGTCCCAGCTCAGTTTGTGAAGTGAAACAATCTCCCTCCACACACAGAGCTCTAATGTAGCTCAGGCCTTTTTTCTGCACGACACTTTTCCCACCGGTGGGAAAAGCACCAGAGTTCACGCTCCACTTCTCTAACAGTTTCAACACCGCATTTAAACCTACCCTGAATATTCTGATAACCAACTGATGAATAGTTCCTTGAGAATAAAAACGAAGGAAGTTTGGCTTCCTATGGATTTCTGTTTTCTGGCTGACCGAGAGCTCCAGCTGAGGCTTTTCCCAGCGGTCACACAGACCCTCTCCCACACAGACCCTCCCGTGCTCCGGCACCTCGGCATCTCCCGCTGCAGCTTTTTCCTCTCCCTCCAAGTCACCGCCTGGGCCTCCTCTTTATCCAGGCAAGGATTCTCATAAAACTCACGGGACTTCATTATCTCTGAGTCCTCCATCCCATGGTCCATCTGAGCTCCAGATTCAAAAACCAGAAAGAAACCACAAGGAGATTTATTGCCCTGGACAAAGCCAAGTGAAAACGCTGATGGGTTCTGGACCCAACCCACGTTGTTATCAGATCTGCCACTGCTGGGTCCTCCAGGGCACAAGGGCACCGAAGGGGGTTATTTGTTATTTTTAAGTGCTGTTTCTTTTTCTTGAAAGTATTTTAGAACCAGAAGTGAAGCTGTTTAAACTTGCACTGGAAGTAGAACATGAACCAGTGGTTGGATACACCGACAATGGCTGGGGAAAGAAAGAGGGGGGAGCGTTGTGTGGTAAATGCCTCATCAAATGACACTAATGGCTCCTAGCACACATCTGTAGATAAAGTATTTCTTACAAAGTATCAGTGAGTCAGTGGATAGTTATGTTTTGTGTTTATTACAGACTTCCTGGGTAGTCCACAGACAGGAGAACATTACTATTCCAATGTGAAGGAACAATATCTACGTGCCAAGACAAACAGCACATCGATTTTACATACCATACATACATGAAATAGCTTTTGATCATGCTTTATGATCTCATTCTAACACATGCTGCTCAGGTCAGCTCGCAGAAACTCGAAAAGAGCACAATATCATAAGCTACCCAGTCTCCTTCTACGACAGCTTTGCTACAAAACACTCAAAAATAGGAATTAAGTGAACCACGTTTGCCAATTTCCTTTTTCTGATTTATTACTCCAGTGACTGACAAAGAATGGTTTACTGAAAAGTTATTTAACTACTGCAAGGAAATGTAAAGTATTTCACATCCCCCAATCAAAATGTACATGCAATTATAGAGGGGGGTGAATAATTAGTGAAACCCACATAAAAAATGACAGGAACGATGAATGTTCAAAAGGTGAATTTTATAGAAAAGATAAATATTTCTCTCATTTTCTGAACTCTTCTTGCTCTTTTTGAAGAACTCTTGTTACAACTGTTTTCCACTTGGGAATAATTTTTACAGAAACATCAAACTTTTAAATGTCATCAAGCTGTTGCTGTGGAAGGCACCCTATGTAATACATTACTGCTATTTTATGTAAATATTAAGAAATACGTTTATTGCAGAGTATTAAGTATATCAATAACATCATATCTCTTGATTTATGACAAATGACAAGGTTTAATTGTGCTTGAGGCAGGAGCACCTCAGGGCTACATCTGCAGCCAATCACAATAGAAATTACACTGAGTTTAAAATTTCTGTGGTAAAAAATGCCACTGCCTGAGCCACCTTCAGTAAATAATTTTTAAATGTGGGTATTTGAGACACGACCGGTGAAAGGTAACGGGAAGGCAGGTAAGAAAATAAAAAGTAATTATAAATATCCATGGAATTGAGCACAGAAGGAAACATTTAATTAAGATATTTAAAATTACATGGCTTAGAAAGAAACCCCCATCCCATGTCAGCCATCCCTAAGAACCAACCACTGTGTCAACAGCCAGCCCTGAGGTTCCAGGCAAGGGAAAAGCTAAGATTATGTTTACTAATCTGCTGGCTTTCCACGTGTCATCACCACAGAAGAACAAGCTCAGCCTTCCGAACCCAACCGACAGTTTGGACATCAGAATTCCTATTTTTTGGGGTTTTTTTCCTCTCCCCGAGGGTTTTTCTCCCAGCAGAAGTGCTGGTTGCAGAACACGTCACACGTGGCAGAGCGAGGAGAAGGACAGGCTGCCTATCAGTTTTGACCACAACAGCTCATTGGGGAAGACAAGTCTTTCTCCCCCCTCCCAGAAAGAGCATCCTTTAAGGAAAGCCATCAGTGCTGGGTTTGGGATCAGCTCCCCGTTGTTTGCACGTTGTGTGCAGTGCAACAATCACTGCAATGGGTCCCAGCTGTAGAAACACAATGCTGGGCTGTTGCTAATGTGTGTTGGACTGATAATGAATGGTCGTCTATGCTTTAATCTGAATAAAGCTCCCAACTGCTCTGCCTCTCTCCTTGCCAAAAATTCCCCTTCCTCCTCCAGACTGTGGTTGCATTCCAATTACACTGCTGATTGGAATGAGCCTGCTTGGGGGAGGGAGAGGGAGGGAGGCAAATGAAGGCACACATACCCCCCCCCCCTCCTGCCTTCAGAGGGTGCCCCCAGGACCCAGAAATCGCTGGGGTGTTGGAACCTACGGCTGACACAACCTACTTTTCCCCACATTGTGCAAAACTCTTTGCAAATTCACTTATTTCTCCCAGAGAAGCATTTGTGACAGGCCCAGGTTCCAGCAGGATGGCTCAATACTTGAAAGGTTTCGAACAAATTCCTACTGGTTTCTTCCATCGCTGTCACGCTCCACAGAAACTTACATTGCTCTGCTTGCACTCCCTCCTTGGACCTGCCTGAATTCCCACATGGGAAGATACAAAACAGGAGGTCTTCAACTATTCATGGGACAAAGAGCTGTAAATAACACCACACGGATTTGCAAATCCAGCTGTTGAGGTGACAACTTCCTCAGTTAAGGTTTTGAAATAAAATTGTTTATCCCAACTATTCACATTAAGTTTTATTCTACAATTAATCTGAGGAATTTTTTTTTTTTTAAGGTTTCATTTCTTTTGAAAGGTGCTTTTTCTGCAGATGAGCAGAACAAGCGACAGGACGCGACCTGATGGTTTTTCCTCTTGCCTCTGTTTTGATTTTTGCCCCCAGGATGCCAAAATAACCAGCTGACACCCCTCAGGTTTTCAGAGCCATCTCTGATTTCTAATTCTCTTTCAGAGACACAATCTTCACCTTCAACATTCGGGATTTCTATTTCCCAAAAGAGCAT